GATAAGGAAGGGTTACAGCTGCTAGGATGGTCACAGGACTCATGGTCCAAGAAAGTACTCAAGGTCCCAGAAAGCTAGACAAGTGATTGCTGGACTGGGCTGGGAACAGAATGATCCTGGGGTAGCAGTGAGGCACAGGCCACTGTCCTATTTGTGGATGAGGTGAGGAGAGCTGCAGGCCCTGCAAGGGATCCCTCAGTCTGCCTGTGAATAACAACTCTGAAGGGCTTTCTGAGGGCCCTTGGAAAGTCTGATGACTGGAGCTGAAAGATGATTCTGTCCAAGGGAAGATCACGACAGTCAAGGACCAATCTAGGGTCAAGTTTGAGGTATTTGTTGTTGAGGAATCAATTCTGAATTAGTCTGAACTATACATCCTTTCTTCCATCCATCCATCCATCCATCCATCCACCTAACATATATTTAGGGAGCTCCTGCCAGGGGCCGAGGATGCGTAGTGTCTCCAGGCATGTCACTTTGTTCTGAGGCATCAGGTCCCTTTGTTTAGGGTATAGCTCAGAGGTTCCATCTACCATGTGAAACTGTGAAGTCAGACAGATCAAGATTCAAATCTCAGCTCTGTCACTTCCTTTAACTGTGACTTTAGGCAAGGGACTTTATCTCTTTGAACCTCATTTTCTTCATCTGTTTAATAAAGAGACAAACTGTTCTTACCTTGTAGAATCGTTATGAGAAGCCAATGAGATAATGTGTCCAAAATGTCTGGCACATGGTAGGGTCTCAATATATAGTGACAATAGCTACCATTTATTATATCATGGCTAGGTCTTCAGATGCATTATTTAATATAATCCTGCCACCAACCTATAATGAAGATGTGATCTCCATTTAAAAATCAGGAACTAGGCCAGGCGTGGTGGCTCACACCTGTAATCCAAGCATTTGGAGGCCAAGGCAGGCGGATCACCTGAGGTTGAGAGTTCAAGACCAGCCTGACCAACATGGTGAAACCCTGTATTTATTTAAAAAAAAAAAAAAATCGAGTAACTTAAGAGGTGGGTGGATCACCAGAGGCCTGGAGTTTGAGGCCAGAGCCTGGCCAACATGGTGAAAACCTGTCTCCACTAAAAATACGAAAATTAGCCAGGCGTGGTGGTGTGTGCCTGTAATCCTAGCTACTTGGGAGTCTGAGGCAGGAGAATGCCTTGAACCCGAGAGGCAGAGGTTGCAGTGAGCCGAGATCGCACCACTGCATTCCAGCCTAGGTGACAGAGTGAGATTCCATCTCAAAAATAAATAAATTAATTAAATTAAATTAAATTAAAATTAAAAATCAGGAACCTGTACCTTGGACAGGTTAATTAATTTGTAGGAGCTCATAGCTTAGGTTCATTCCAAAGTCTGTGCTCTTAGAAACATTAAGAAGCCCTAGTTATAATTTCCTGTGGCAAGAATGAGAAATGCAGGTTTTCAGGCTTAGAAGGATTTTCAAGCAAGTTTACCAGGCAAGAGTAGATAGTGTAAGTTGCCAAAATGTGTGATGCTACAGAACCCCATATGGGCCACTTCAGGGGGAAGGAATCTCACATTCATTCTAGGAGTTTGGGTTATTCTAGAACTTTTTTTTTTTTTTTAATCCTTCTTAGGTTCTGAATCCCTTTGTGAATTTGATGGACGCTAAGGATCCTCTCTGGAAAAATGCCTGTAAGCACTACAAATATTTTTGTGCACAACTGCAGAGGGCTTGTGAAATCTTTGAAATCCAGCCGTGGATACCTAAAGAACCCTCTTTTAGGGCAGCATTTTCCAAGTGCAGGACACAGATCACTAGTAGTGTCAGAGATCAGTTTAACAATGCAAAGACCAATGTTTTATACTCTAATATTTATATTTTATAGTTACCTTCTATTTATGGCAAATGAGACTGGCTTTCCATTTATGGTAATGATATAAATTTGTCTTTTAAAAGCATACCTATTAGGCTGGGAGTGATGGCTCACGCCTGTAATCCCAGAACTTTGGGAGGCCAAGGCAGGTGGATCAGGAGTTCAAGACTAGCCTGGCCAACATGGTGAGACCCCGTCTCTACAAAAACAGAAAAATTAGCTGGGCATGGTGGCGTGAGCCTGTATCCCAGCTACTCAGTAGGCCAAGGCAGGAGAGTTGCTCGAACCCAGATCACACCACTGCACTCCAATCCGAGTGACAGAGCAAGACTCCATCTCAAAAAAATAAAATAAAATAAAAAGTATACTTATTTTAAAAAATAAAGCTGGGCGCGGTGGCTTACGCCTGTATTCCCAGCAATTTGGGAGGCCAAGGCAGGTGGATTACCTGAGGTCAGGACGTTCAAGACCAGCAAACCCTGTCTCTACTAAAAATACAATAAATAAATAAAGGGCGTTCAAAGAAAATATTAAACAATATATTCTATGAAGTATTATTAATGAACAATTACACTATTATATATAATGGTATCCTATATAGAGAGAGGAATCCTATATTATATATAATAGTATCCTATATATATAGAGGTATCTATCTATATAAATATATATGAATGCATATATATATATATATATATATATATATATATATAATTATACAGGGGTTTTTTTGGGTTTTTTTGTTTTTTTTTTGAGACAGTCTCACCCTGTTGCCCAGGCTGGAGTGCAATGGCACAATCTTGGCTCACTGCAACTTCCACCTCCCGGGTTCAAGAGATTTTCCTGCCTCAGCCTCCCGAGTAGCTGGGATTACAGGGGTGTGCCACCATGCCCCACTAATTTTTTGTGTCTTTAGTAGAGACAGGGTTTCACCATGTTGGCCAGGCTGGTCTTGAACTCCTGACCTCATGACCCACCTGCCTCAGCCTCCTAAAGTGCTGGGATTACAGCCATAAGCCACTGTGCCCAGCCTCTAATTTTCTGTATTTTTAGTAGAGATGGGGTTTCACTGTGTCAGCCAGGATGGTCTTGATCTCCTGACCTCCTGATCTGCCTGCCTTGGCCTCCCAAAGTGCTGGGATTACAGGCGTGGGCCACCATGCCCGGCCAATGATAATATTATTACAGTAAAAATTAAATAAATAATAGTAGAGGTAGTGTAGACACGGAAAGCAAGAAACACATGAGGATGATTTAGGAAATTTATTTGGGGTTTCTACTTAGTGGAGTCACCGTGGCTTTACTTTAGTGTCATATGCATAGGGTCCTCACTTGTCCTTACCCTACTTCTTCCTCAAGAGAGATACTATATAGGAATATTATAACTCTTAAAACCTCAAATCTCACCATTAGAAATATAGGACTGGAAAAAGCTGTTGTGCAACTCTGCTCAAATTGTTTTATTTTTATTTTTTGGGATGGGGTTTAGCCATGTTGCCCAGGCTGGTCTCCAACTCTTGAGCTCAAGCGATCCCCTCGACTCAGCTTCCCAAAGTGCTTAGATTACAGGTGTGAGCCACCATGCCCAGCCACAAATTGTTTAAAAGGGTAATGAGAGTAGGGGGTCAAGAGGAAAATGCAGAAATGTAAATAGGAAGTTTCCAGTTACATGATTAACCTGATAATTTATTTATGCAGGCTCAAAAATAATTATAGGCATTTCAGAGTTAGTTGTTCAAAACCTTGCTGTGGCCTTTGGGATGGTTCTATAAACAATTATTAATTATTGATAAGATTGATTGATCATTTACTATGATCAAATGTTTAACACTAACATGCATATGAAGTGGTTTCCTTTTACACTTAGTCCCCCTTTAATTAAATAAAGACGACGTTCAAATAGCTAGTAAATGACAGTGTTGGGATTTAAATACAGATCTGACTTGTCCCTCAACTCCCCCAAGATCTTACTTTTTTTTTTTTTTTTGAGACGGAGCTTTTGCTCTTGTTACCCAGGCTGGAGTGCAATGGCGCAATCTCAGCTCACCGCAACCTCCGCCTCCTGGGTTCAGGCAATTCTCCTGCCTCAGCCTCCTGAGTAGCTGGGATTACAGGCACGCGCCACCATGCCCAGCTAATTTTTTGTATTTTTAGTAGAGACGGGGTTTCACCATGTTGACCAGGATGGTCTCGATCTCTTGACCTCGTGATCCACCCGCCTCGGCCTCCCAAAGTGCTGGGATTACAGGCTTGAGCCACCGCGCCCAGCCAGATCTTACTTTTTTAACCAATTCGTGTCTCCTCCCTAAGGTAGAGGGGACATCATCTTTTGAATAGTCGCTTTTTCGTCCGTTAGAATACCTCCTCCTCTGAGATAAAACCCAACCAAGAATCTCTGCCTCACCTGAGCAACAAGCCTCACCCTGGACAAAAACCCCGGGGCTCAACACTCCCAAATCCATCCGGATCCCCATCCCCACCCCCTTAAAGGATTTCTGCATTGCTTGGCTGAGACCCCACTCTTGGGGCTCATCCCTTAATTCTTAAGGAAACATCCTCCCTCCATCCTGAGGATGTTCTCTTCCAAATATTTCACAGCGGTACCGACTACAAATGGGGCCCAATGCAAAATGAAAGCGTTTTAAGGGCCCCTCCTGTGCGACTGCCCTGCTGGTTTGCCCACGAAGCCGGCCCTGCTTCACAGATACCCTTTCCGTAAAGGGAGAGGCCACCTTTGTCATAATCCTGCTGACCTAGAGTGGGAGATCCTGCGACCCGACTTGGGGGAGTGGGGCAGTGGTAGCCGCCAACTTCTAGAGACTTTCGTTCGAGAGCACACCCTGGGACAACCTCCGTGAATTTGGGATCACCTCCCTTGGCCCCCGCAGAAGCTCGCTTCCTACCTCTCCAGACAGCTGGGTGGTCCTCGCAGCCGGGCCGGGGCTCCACCTTCTGGGCGTGTGGGCCTCGCCGCGTGGGGCCTATTGCCTGGGCAACCGACGCCGTGAGAGGTGCATTATGGTCTGCAACAAAATGCAGGAGAAAGATCCTGAGGGAACCATGGAGTCCATGGACCAATGGAAGAATGCCGTGGACTGCGTCAAGCCAATAGGGACGCGCGGCGAGGGGCGGGGTCGGTGGGAGCAGGGCGGGGCCTGAGCACTAGGCGGCGGCGACTGGCGTGGGGCGGTTTAGATGCGCCACGGCTTCGGTAGCGACAGCAGCTCAATCTGTGGCTGAGCAGTGCTAGCACCTCCTCCAGGAGACTGTTGCTGTCAGCCAGCCCCCTTCTCCACGGTGAGAAACTCTGGGGGCTAGGGGGTGTCCTCGCTGCCTCATTTCGCCCCCTCCGGACTTAGCCCGCCGCGTAGCCCGCGCTTCCTGAGTAGCGGGGTGGGGGGCGTCTTCCCGTGGTGGCGCGGGCCGGGGGGCGGGGGGTTGTGCAGCTAGTGCCTGGGGGGCGCGGCCCAACTCCTCCAGCCCTTACCCGGGGCCTTGCCCACTAGGTAACCATGTGCGACCGAAAGGCCGTGATCAAAAATGCGGACATGTCGGAAGAGATGCAACAGGACTCTGTGGAGTGCGCTACTCAGGCGCTGGAGAAATACAACATCGAGAAGGACATTGCGGCTCATATCAAGAAGGTGAGGACGGGCGCGGGGGTCGAGGCGCAGCCGGGAGCAGGGGTTTCCTTCCCCTTCCCCGATCCTGCGTTCCGAGGGCGCCTGACAGGTCCCGGGAGCACCCCGGGCGTCTCGGGTCGTAGAAGCTTCCAGAAAGGACGCAGATGCATTTTGCGCTCCTCTGGAGAAGACTAGACCCTCGGCGTCCGAAGTTTTTTTTTTTTTTTTTTAAATTACCCAGCTCGGCGGGGGGAAGCGCCACCTAGCAACGGTATCTAAGATCAGGGAGCAGCGGTTCCCCCTTCTGTGTGGTTCCTGCGCCGAGGATCCATCTGGGTGTTCCGGAGGGGGGAGCTGCGTGGGTGTTTCCAGCCGGGCCGGGAGATCTTGCCAGCCTTCCAGTGGGGAGTTAGTCGGCAGTTGAGGGAAAGTGGGTGGTGGCGGGGCTGGGGACTGGGGTGGGGGCTTGGTAAATGGCAGTCTGTAGAAAGCTGGCAGGACTGCCAACTTCTCTAGCAATGTTTGCTGGAAGGGAAGAAAGCTGGCAGCCTAAGCCGTGGGAGGGTTCCAGTCGAGAATGGAAAGATGAAAGACTTTAGATGGAACAGAAATAAATGCCTTTTTTGACAAACGCAGCAGTGCGTGCGTCTAGCTTGCAAGAGCGTTACTCCTCTTCATAGCTTTAAAAGAGGCTTTCGCACTGCGTGCAGTTAGAGTAGCTAAATCTTGTGTGACTCTCCGCAAACACTTGTAAGAATTTTGTAGAGAAAGATTACCTTTGCCGCCCTCTGCCCCCCACAGGCATTCTACTCCCAGTACCTCTTAGGGTGGGGGAAATGGTAAAGAGATGTTCCTACAACTTGCTAACCTAGTGGACAGGGTAGTAGGTTAGGATCATCCGGATAGATGTGGAGAGGATGGCTGTTTGGATAATAATTAAGGATAAAATTGAGCCAGTTGACTGTCAGATTGTTTACAGCAAGGTGGAGTGCGTAAGTATCGTGTCCATGAAAATTTAATTTTGATGAGCAGTCATTTGGTATACAATACTGTTATAAGTTTTATCCTTTTGGAAGTCTTGTTTGAGTGTTGCAGGGGTGCAGTTAAGATCTTTGTGAGGCCGGGCGCAGGGGCTCAAGCCTGTAATCCCAGCACTTTGGGAGGCCGAGGTGGGTGGATCACGAGGTCAAGACATAGAGACCATCCTGGTCAACATGGTGAAACCCCGTCTCTCCTAAAAATACCAAAAATTAGCTGGGCATGGTGGCGCGTGCCTGTAATCCCAGCTACTCAGGAGGCTGAGGCAGGAGAATTGCCTGAACCCAGGAGGCAGAGGTTGCGGTGACCCTAGATCACGCCATTCCACTCCAGCCTGGGTAACAAGAGCGAAACTCCGTCTCAAAAAAAAAAAAAGATCTTTGTGATGAGGAATTGGAAGGGCTAATTTTTTTTTTTTCTTTTTTTTTTAACCATTTTCTTGGATTGGGGGGCATGGCAAATACAGTCGGGTAGTTTAGTTCTTTACAGGGAACATGATAAACTACACTTGTTGATGTCACCTTCTGTCAGTGAGTAAGAACACTATAGAAGGTATGAAGGTGTAATTACTGGAATAACAAAGCATCCTGTCTTTAAGGCTGACCTTTCTTCCTTTGACCTCCTCAGCCTCCATTCTCATCTTAGCTCAGACTGCAAGTATGTTTGTATAAATGCACAGTGTAGGCGACTTGGAGCTGGGGAACATTCTTTCATTAGAAGAATTTGCAGATGCTAACGTTCTTCCTTTCTGCCCCTACAGGCTCTGGCTTATCTGGGAGCTAATTAAAATTCAAACACCTCTGGTAAATTAAAATTCTACTTTTTTTCTTTTTTTTTTCCCCAGGAATTTGATAAGAAGTACAATCCTACCTGGCATTGCATCGTGGGGAGGAACTTCGGTAGTTACGTGACACATGAAACCAAACACTTCATCTACTTCTACCTGGGCCAAGTGGCCATTCTTCTGTTCAAATCTGGTTAAAAGCATGGACTGAAAAGGCCGGGCATGGTGGCTCACGCCTGTAATCCCAGCACTTTGGGAGGCCGAGGTGGGTGGATCACCTGAGGTCAGGAGTTCAAGACCAGCCTGGCTAACATGGTGAAACCCTATCTCTACTAAAAATACAAAAATTAGCCGGGTGTGGTGGTGCACACCTGTAATCCTAGCTACTTGGGAGGCTGAGGCAGGAGAATCACTTGAACCTGGGAGGTGGAGGCTGCATTGAGCTGAGATCAGGCCATTGTACTCCAACCTGGGCAACAGAGTGAGACTCCATCTCATTAAAAAAAAAAAAAAAAAAAGCATGGACTGTTGTGCCACACACCCAGTGATCCATCCAAAAACAAGGACTGCAGCCTAAATTCCAAATACCAGAGACTGAAATTTTCAGCCTTGCTAAGGGAACACCTTGATGTTTGAACCTTTGTTTTTTGTACAGGGCATTCTCTGTACTAGTTTGTTGTGGTTATAAAACAATTAGCAAAATAGCCTACATTTGTATTTATTTTCTATTCCATATTTCTGCGCCACGTTGTTTTCTCTCAAAATCCATTCCTTTAAAAAATAAATGTTGCATATGTGTATATGTGTGAATTACAATTTTTTCAAATAATATAGTGTTGAAGATGGTCACTTGATGAGATCTCCAGGTTGGTTGGGATGAGTCAGTCCTTAAAGAAGTTTCTGTGGGGTATTTCAGTACTCTAAGTCACATTCTCACCCATCCTGCAACTGTTGTGCATGTTGAGAAATGCAATGCATGGCAGAGAAACATTTAAATCTTAGTCCTAATCTGAAAAAAATCAGTGTTTAAGGATATTTGTTAGACACTTCTACAGAATGCTCTGGGCCTTTGGGCTTGGGTGGTGGTAGTGGATGTTTAGTACTACTTTAAGCTTTCTATGGCTATAAAATGGAAATAAACTCAAAGTTGGGATAATGAAATGGATTCAAGGACCCTTGGCTAGCCCCCTCCCCTGCCTAGAAAGAAGGAGGCCTTAAAAGGGAAAGTAAATGTTTTTGAGCAGCATTCTTCATGCTCTCCTAATAGTCTTCTTTTTTTTTGAGACAGAGTTTCGCTCTTGTTACCCAGGCTGGAGTGCAATGGCGCCATCTCGGCTCACCACGACCTCCGCCTCCTGGGTTCAGGCAATTCTCCTGCCTCAGCCTCCTGAGTAGCTGGGATTACAGGCATGCGCCAACATGCCCAGCTAATTTTTTTGGTATTTTTAGTAGAGACGGGGTTTCACCATGTTGACCAGGATGGTCTCGATCTCTTGACCTCGTGATCCACCCGCCTCGGCCTCCCAAAGTGCTGGGATTACAGGCTTGAGCCACCGCGCCCGGCCGTCTCCTAATAGTCTTGGCAGGAATTTATATTATGCTTTGCTTTGCTGTGGTCAGGAACGAGTGTGAATTGATGCCTTTTCCTGAAAAGACTCAGTTAAGCTGGGGACGGGTAACCATCAAAGGTTTCCTGCTATCAATTTTAGAGGACTACAGTTTTAGAAAAGCAAATAGGGCAGACTTTTAGGAAGAAAGGAAATACGACAGGCTGAAACAACCCACACCCATCTTGGGAAACTGTTCCCACGATGCCATTGGGATTTCTCAGCAGCCAGGCAACTGCTACATGGAAGAGGGCGATAGATTGGAGTTGATGGGTAGTAACTCCCATCGTAAGAGCATTAGGTCAGTAACCTCTTTGGAAGTTTATTTTTCTTCAGAATGTGTGGCTTTAAGAATCCTAGTAAAGTTCTGCTACTTTAGGACTGGAAGAGTTTCAGGGTAGAGGTGCAAAATTTGTGTGTGTGTGTGTGTGTGTGTGTGTGTATGATGAGTTTCGCTCTTTCGCTCTTGTGGTCCAGGCTGGAGTGGAATGGTGCAATCTTGGCTCACCACAACCTCCACCTCCCAGATTCAAGCAATTCTCCTGCCTCAGCCTCCCAGGTAGCTGGGACTGCAGGCATGCGCCACCACACCCAGCTGATTTTGTATTTTTAGTAGAGATGGGGTGTCTCCATGTTCGTCAGGCTGGTCTCAAACTACCAACCTCAGGTGATCTGCCTGCCACAGCCTCCCAAAGTACTGGGATTACAGGTATGAGTCACCACGCCTGGCAATTTTGACTATTGTAGCAGTTTTTTCCCTGCTGTCTGCAAAAAAGGATGAGGTACTATGGAATAAACAGGAGATTGCAATTGGGGTAATTTATGTTTGTTCTCACATAAACTGAAAATGTTCCCATAATTCTATCTTTTTTCTAACTTTCTTTTTTTTTTTTTTTTTTTTTTTTTTTGAGACAAGGTCACCTGTTGCCCAGGCTAGAGTGCAGTGTGTGCGATCACAGCCCACTGCTGCTTCAACCTCCTGGGCCCAAGTGATCCTGTCACCTTAGCTTCCAAGGTAACGGGGATCACAGGTGTTTGCCACCATGGCCAGCTAACTTTTGAATTTTTTGTAGAGCTGGAGTCTCCCTGTGTTGCCCAGGCTGGGCTCAAGTGATCCTCCCAAGGTGTTGGGATTACAGGTATGAGCCACCACACCTGGTTTAATTTATATCTTTTCTATCCCTTTTCCCTCTTTAGTGACCTGGCTATATTTCTGTTTGAAGCCCACAAGGAATTTGGCCTCCAAAGCTTTAGCTTGTCCAGTTAAGCCCTAGTCCGAACAGATGATCTGTCTCTAGCTATAGACCCAAAAGCTGATTCAAGACTGACAGTGGGTTTCACCATGTTGGCCAGGCTGGTCTTGAACTCCCGACCTCAGGTGAGCCGCCCCCCCCAAAAAAAGACTGATAGCTAGACACTGACAGTTTTAGCTGAATTTGATCTGTCCCATATTTACTGTCAAGAAGTTGGCAGCTTTTTTGTTTTTTTATTCAGATGTGAGAAAACCACGTTACTATGGAGATAAGACAGGGTTGATGGTTTATGAAGTTCCTTCCAATGCCTGTTCCTTCCTGTTAATTTCAAAAGCCAATAGGCTCCAGCTGGCTGAAAAGAAAATGTAAGCTGAGTTTTTCTAAGCATTTATCAAATGCTCTTAGCTGCTGTTCTTTGAGAGAGTTGTATATAGCTAGCTGTATCTGGAAGTCTTTCAGTGACAGGGCAAGATCTTGTAAGTGAAGGCACATAAATGATCCTTACTGTGCCGTGCCAGGAAGCAACATATCTGAAGCCCTTTCCCATACCTTTGAACTAAGTTATCCACAAACTGTTAGCCAAGTCACAGACTGATTTTTCTTTTTTGAGACAGGGTCTCATCTCACTCTGTCACCAAGACTAGAGTGCAGTGGCATGATCTCGGCTCACTGCAACCTCTGCCTCCTGGGATCAGATGATCCTCCCACCTCAGCCTTCCAAATAGCTGGGACCACAGGTGTGCATCACCACACCTGGCTAATTTTTTAAAATTTTTTGTAGAAATGGGGTTTCACCACATTGCCCAGGGTAGTCTCAAACTCCTGGATTCAAGCAATCTGCCCTCCTTGGCCTCCCAAGGTGCTGGGATTACAGGCGTAGGCCACTGTGCCGGGCTGATTTCTGCAATTTCTTAGCAAGGCCCCTTTAAAACCTTAAGATTCATCCACACTCAAAATAGTTACGGCTGGGTGCAGTGGCTCATGTCTTTAATCCCAGCAATTTGGGAGGCCAAAGTGGGAGGATCATGTAAGCCTAGGAGTTAGCCTGGGCAACACAGGGAGACCCTGTCTCTATAAAGAAAAAAAAAGTTATAGCAGCCAGGTACAGTGGCTCACACCTGTAATCCCAACACTTTGGGAGGCTGAAGTGGACAGATCACCTAATGTCGGGATTTCAAGACCAGCCTGACCAACATGGTAAAACCCTGTTTCTACTAAACATACAAAAGTGAGCCAGGCATGGTGGTAGGTGCCTGTAATCCCAGCTACGTGGGAGGCCGAGGCAGGAGAATTGCTTGAACCTGGGAGGCAGAGGTTGCAGTGAGCTGAGATCGCACCACTGCACTCCAGCCTAGACGACAGAGGGAGACTCAGTCTCAAAATAAATAAATAAATAAAAATTAAAATAAAAAAATTAACCAGGCACTATGACGTATGCCTGTAGACCCAGCTATTTGAGAGGCTGAGGTGGGAGGATTGCTTGAGCCCAGGAGTTTAGGCTGCAGTGGGCTATGATCTTGGAGTGATCACAAGTGATCTTGGCTCACTCCAGCCTGAGTGACAGAGCAAGACTCTGTCTCAAAAAAACTTATGGCCTCGGCCAGGCGTGGTGGCTCACTCCTGTAATCCTAGCACTTTGGGAGGCCGAGGTGGGTGGATCACCTGAGGTCAGGAGTTCAAGACCAGCCTGGCCAACATGGTGAAACCCCATCTTTAAAAAAAAAGAAAAATTTATGGCCTCATTTTAACATCAGTGTACTGCATTCATGGAGAAGTTTGAAAAATGACAAAAAATGAAAAAGAAAATAGTGGACTATAATGAGACAAGATGTCATCCCAGCTCCATCTCTGAGTACTGAAGGAGGTTAGCTTATACAGTTTTCAAACTTTTTTTTGCTATAAAACAAGCTTATGCTTACAAAAAAGCTCCCTATTAGGAGTTTGCTGGTACATTTATTTTCCAACAAGAATTTAGTGAAGTTTTCTTTCTTTTTTTTTTTTTTTTGAGATGGAGTTTAGCTCGTTACCCAGGCTGGAGTGCAATGGCGCGATCTCGGCTCACCACAACCTCCGCCTCCTGGGTTCAGGCAATTCTCCTGCCTCAGCCTCCTGAGTAGCTGGGATTACAGGCACGTGCCACCATGCCCAGCTAATTTTTGTATTTTTAGTAGAGATGGGGTTTCACCATGTTGACCAGGATGGTCTCAATCTCTTGACCTCGGGATCTACCCGTCTTGGCCTCCCAAAGTGCTGGGATTATAGGCGTGAGCCACCACGCCTGGCCTCTTTTTTTTTTTTTTTTTTTTTTTTGAGACTAGTCTCTCTCTCTTGCCCAGGCTGGAGTGCAGTGGCACGATCTTGGCTCACTGCAACCTCTGCCTCCCAGGCTCAAGCAATTCTCCTGCCTCAGCCTCCCAAGTAGCTGGGATTACAGGCACCTACCACCATGCACGGCTATTTTTGTATTTTTAGTAGAAATGGGGTTTCTCCATGTTGGCCAGGCTGGGATTACAGGTGTGAGCCACCATGCGCAGCCTAGTGAACAGTTTTCTATATGACAAGTACTGGGTCACATAGTAGCTTTTTTTTGAGACAGAGGCTTGCTATATTGCCCAGGCTGAAGTGCAGTGGCGTGATCTTGGCTCACTGCAACCTCTGCCTCCCAGATTCAAGTGATTCTCCTGCCTCAGCCTCCCAAGTAGCTGGGATTTATAAGCCTATGCCACAACGCCTAGCTAATTTTTGTATCCTTTCAGAGATGGGGTTTTTCCATGTTGGACAGGTTGGTCTTGAACTCCTGACCTCAAGTGATCCACCTGCCTCAGCCTGCCAAAGTGCTGGGATTACAGGTGTCAGCCACCATGCCCAACCCACATAGTAGCTTTTTGTGGAGGAGGACTGAAAGAAAAATGAAATATATATTTTCCTTACCCCCTTCAAAAAAAAATAACAAGTATCATCAAAAGGCAAACTCGTTTACTGGTTCAGCACACAATTGTCATGATCATTAGTCCTCTGACTTGGGCCTAGACTCAGTCCTAGTAGGCTGAAAGGTTGATTCAGGTAAGTTTTCTGGTTAAAGTCATCATTGGGTTCAAATGATCTATCACCCACTCTGGAAGGCAGCACCAGCAGAGAAGCTATAAATACACTTCAAAACTGAGCCTTAGGCCGGGCACGGTGGCTCACGCCTGTAATCCCAGCACTTTGGGAGGCCGAGGCGGGTGGATCATGAGGTCAAGAGATCGAGACCATCCTGGTCAACATGGTGAAACCTCGTCTCTACTAAAAATACAAAAAAATTAGCTGGGCATGGTGGTGCGTGCCTGTAGTCCCAGCTACTCGGGAGGCTGAGGCAGAATTGCTTGAACCCAGGAGGCGGAGGTTGTGGTGAGCCGAGATCGCGCCATTGCACTCCAGCCTGGGTAACAAGAGCGAAACTCCGTCTCAAAAAAAAAAAAAACAAAAAACAACAACAAAAAAACTGAGCCTTAGTGCTGGTTGTACCTTAACCACACCCTCTATAGCCAAGAGAAATTAGCGGTTGAGCAAAAATACAGACCAAATGCCTCTGGGAGATGGACTGAAGCAACTCCAAAGAAAGCTATAAAAAAGTGACAGGAATTTGTTCTACTTGGAGAGTGTTCGATTCAAACATGAGTCCAAGGTATGTATCCTCAAGAGGAGATGCTCTGCTGTTGTCTCATTTGCCAGAATATCCTTCAGTTCCAGGCTTTCAACAGGGTGTGATTGGTTCATGCTCCATGATAGGAAAGGAATTAAAGTTTGAAGGCAGAATGAATGGCCACAATGCCAGATGTTAGACTTTCATAAGTGACCTTGTGAAAGCCTGCATCTTCTATCATCTCCTTGAACTCTTCCTAAAACAAAAGGAAAGATACAGCCAGGGTAGCCTGGATTTCAACTGTAGGGCCTTTGTTTTAAGCTAGAGAAGTTTCATACCTGAGACGGGAACCTTCGGATACTCTCTACAAGGTATTGATAGGACTTCCAGTCTCCAGCAATGACCTCTCCCAGGACAGGGATGACCTGGAAGCTATATAGATCATAAAGCCTAAGCAAACAAAAAGGTCAAAAATTAAGATTAAGATTAGAGCATTCCCCTCATTTCTTCCCAAGATAAGAAGGAAGGACTAAAACCTGGGGTCACAAACTCAAATGCCTCTAGGAATCAAGAAGAGCCTGAATTAAGTGGGCCAGATATGAGACCAGTAGGAGTAGTGAAAGGTACAGTTAGGAAGTACTATAAAGTGGAGAAGGGACAGTTACTACTCAGCCCTTTCTTTTTTCTTTTTTTTTTTTTTTTTGAGACGGAGTTTTTGCTCTTGTTACCCAGGCTGGAGTGCAATGGCGCGATCTCGGCTCACCACAATCTCTGCCTCCTGGGTTCAGGCAATTCTCCTGCCTCAGCCTCCTGAGTAGCTGGGATTACAGGCATGTGCCACCATGCCCAGCTAATTTTTTTTTGTATTTTTAGTAGAGACGGGGTTTCACCATGTTGACCAGGATGGTCTCGATCTCTCGACCTCGTGATCCACCCGCCTCGGCCTCCCAAAGTGCTGGGATTACAAGCGTGAGCCACCACGCCCGGCCTACTCAGCCCTTTCTATGGCATGTGGGGATACGGGCCTACCCAGGGCTGCCATGTATCTAATTTCTCAAGTGAAGCTGGAAATCCAGATTTTTACGTAAAATTTAAATTGGTTTTTGTTTGTTTGTTTGTTTGTTTGTAGAGATACAGTCTCACTGTGTTGCACAGGCTGGTCTTGAACTTCTGGGCTCAAGCGGTTCTCCCCCCTCAGCCTCCCAAAGTACTGGGATTACAAGCATGAGCCACTGTACTTGGCCCAAATTTCCTGATTTTCTTTTTAAGCCAGTCAAATGTAGCAGTAGGGGGTTGAGTAACAACATGAGTGCCAGTAGTAAGTTCTGATAACCCACTACCATTGGACCAGCCATTTCCTGATTTTTAAATATGTCAATTTCTTTAAGTCAATTTCTTAAAATATATATGTAAGCCAACTTGGATATAGTTTGCTTGGATGTACCCTTCTGGCCTAGGTATTGTCATTCAGAACTGGCTGATCTCTGGTACTCTGAACCACAAAGTTCATGCTTATAGTTTACTGGCTATTTTCAATCCATTTCAGGGTGGGAAACCTGGGCTATCCAATGAAGATAAAGTCCTGTTAACAATGCCAACCTGGATATGAGGGGATTGTTCACTTGGCTAAATTCCAGACACAGAAACCGTCCTCCTGGTTTCAGCACCCGATGGGCTTCCTGGAGTGCCTGAGCAAGACAAGGAACAACAGGACACGCTCCTCAGTAGACTCACTCAGTTCCATGAGGCCAAGACAGCTTTAGCTTCTGTAGGCATTACAAGAGGTATCATGGCCCACACATCTCGTTTGTTCTCACTTGGGAAACTGTAACAGCAGCAGTAACCCCACATATCCCAAATACTACAGGCATTCTGCTGCCCGTGACTATACAAAGGTAGCTGGGGTCATCTACACTGACTACAGATTGGTACAACTCCATGAAAGGCAAGTTTAGAGTTACCTATCAAAGTTGCTATGGATATCCTCTCTGATAAAGCAATTTTACTTCAAGGAAGCTATCTTACAGAAATGTTTTTACTGTGGAAATGACATGTATGTGGGTTATTCACTTTTATTTTATTTTTTTTGAGATGGAGTCTTCCTCTGTCACCCAGAGTGGTGTGTAGTGCCATGATCTTGGCTCACTGCAACCTCCACCTCCCAGGTTCAAGTGGTTCTCCTGCTTCAGGCTCCCAAGTTACTGAACTACAGATGCCTGCCACCAGGCCCAGCTAACAGATGCCTGCCACCAGGCCCAGCTAATTTTTTTTTTTTTTTCCAAGATGGAGTTTTGCTCTTGTTGCCCAGGCTGGCGAATTTTTTGTTTGTTTGTTTGTTTGTTTGTTTGTTTGTTTTAAAGGGGCTTTCTGGCAAAAACCAGAAAGCCTGCTAGACAAATTCTAAAACAGCTGTAACACTGGTTTTGTTTTTTTTTTTTAGATGGAGTTTTACTCGTATTGCCTAGGCTGGAGTCCAATGGCACAATTTCAGCTCACTGCAACCTCCATCTCCCAGGTTTAAGCACTTCTGCCTCAGCCTCCAAAGTAGCTGGGATTACAGGCATGCACCACCAAGCCCAACTAATTTTATAGTTTTAGTAGAGACGGGGTTTCACCATGTTAGCCAGGATGGTCTCAATCTCCTGACCTCAAATGATCCACTCACCTTGGCCTCCCAAAGTGCTGGGTCTACTGGTGTGAGCCACTGCACCTAGCTGGTTATTCACTTTTTTTTTTCCTCTTTTTTCTTTTCTATTGGAACAGACAAGTGCTGCACTGCTGTTCCAGGTTATTCACTTTTAAATAAAATTATGGGAAGCCATTGTTTTGGACTAAGTTTCTGCACTAGGTTCCAAGAGACCAGACTAAGCATCAAAATGGAGTCATCGTCTTGTGACTCCACAAGTTCCATGTCACCAAACCCAAATTAAGCTGTCAGCTGACCTTCTGCGAGATCAGGAGAAAGAGATACAGCCAATTTCTCTAATGCTCCTGTTTAAATTTGTAATTCACATGGTAATGAAGTTCCTTCTGCTTTAATCCTTACACAAAAAAGATAGCCTGAGGTAGCCTGATATAAATAAACTACTTCGTTTTTTATTTTTATTTTTTAGAGACAAGGTCTCCCTGTTATGTTGCCCAGCTTGCAGTATAGTGGCTATTCACAGGTGTGATCATACTACAGCCTTGAACTCCTGGGCTCAAGCAGTCCTCCCGCCTCAGCCGCCCATGTAGCTCCGACTACAGGCATGTGTCACTGAACTTGATCAGTTATCTATCTATCTATCTATCTATCTATCTATCTATTATTTGAGGTGGGGTCTCATGTTGCCCAGGCTGTTCTCTTGACTCCTGGGCTCAGGTAGTCCTCCTGCCCCAGCCACCCAAAGTGCTGGGTTTATAGGCAAGAGCCACCGAACCTGACCCCATCAGTTACTTATTTATTTTATTTTATTTTATTTATTTATTTTTAAGACAGAGTGTCGCGCCGGGCGCGGTGGCTCAAGCCTGTAATCCCAGCACTTTGGGAGGCCGAGGCGGGTGGATCACGAGGTCGAGAGATCGAGACCATCCTGGTCAACATGGTGAAACCCCGTCTCTACCAGAAATATAAAAAATTAGCTGGGCATGGTGGTGCATGCCTGTAATCCCAGCTACTCAGGAGGCTGAGGCAGGAGAATTGCCTGACCCCAGGAGGCGGAGGTTGCGGTGAGCCGAGATCGTGCCATTGCACTCCAGCCTGGGTAACAAGGGCGAAACTCCGTCTCAAAAAAAAAAAAAAAAAAAAAAAAAAAAAAAAAAAAAAAAAGACAGAGTGTCACTCTGTCGCCCAGGCTGGAGTGCAGTGGCGTGATCTCTGCTCACTGCAACCTCTGACCAGTCAAAAAAATTTTTTTAAATTCAATTAAATAATAAACTGGCAGCCGGGCGCGGTGGCTCAAGCCTGTAATCCCAGCACTTTGGGAGGCCGAGGCGGGTGGATCACGAGGTCGAGAGATCAAGACCATCCTGGTCAACATGGTGAAACCCCGTCTCTACTAAAAAATACAAAACATTAGCTGGGCATGGTGGCGCTTGCCTGTAATCCCAGCTACTCAGGAGGCTGAGGCAGGAGAATTGCTTGAACCCAGGAGGCGGAGGTTGCGGTGAGCCGAGATCGCGCCATTGCACTCCAGCCTGGGTAACAAGAGCGAAACTCCGTCTCAAAAAAAAAAAAAAAAAAAAAAAAAAAAAAAATAATAATAATAATAATAAACTGGCTACTGACACAGGAAAGGTGATACAAACAAAACTGAAGAACGCTGTAAAGAACATACCACATGGCCAAGCACAGTGGCTCATGCCTGTAATCCTAGCACTTTGGGAGGCCGAGGCAGATGGATCACAGGGTCAGGAGTTTGAGACCAGCCTGCCAACATGGTGAAACCCTGTCTCTCCTAAAAATACAAAAATTAGTTGGACATAGTAGCGCACGCCGGTAATCCCAACTACTGGGGAGGCTGAGGCAAGAGAATCGCTTGAACTTGGGAAGCAAAGGTTGCAGTGAGCCAAGATCGCACTACTGCACTCCAGCTTGGGCAACAGAGCGAGACTGTGTTAAAAAAACAAAAATAAGAAACAAAAAAAAACACTCAACCAGAGGACCCAGGCAGCTGGAGACCATGTTACTGAAATGAAACTCTTTGCCTTGCACATGGTCTTCAAGTGTTTTGAACAGAATATATTAAAGTTGGAATAAAGGCCAGGTATAGAGGCTCAAGCCTGTAATCCGAGCATTTTGGGAGGCTGAGGCAAGAGGATTGCTTGAGCTCAGGAGTTTGACATCAGCCAAGGCAACATGGTGAAACTCTATCTCTATAAAAAATAAAAATAAAAAATAAAGTAGGAATAGTGGCCCAGTGTGGTGGCTCACGCCTGTAAACCCAACACTTTGGGAGGCCCAGGCAGGCAGATCACGAGGTCAGGAGTTCGAGACAAGACTGACCAACATGGTGAAACCAGGTCTTTATTAAAAATACAAAACTAGCCAGGCAAGGTGGTATGCACCTGTAATCCCAGCTACTCAGGATGCTAAGGCAAGAGAATTGCTTGCACCTGGGAGGCAAAGGTTGCAGTCACCAGAGATCGCCACTGCACTCCAGCCTGGGAGTCAGATTGAGACTCCGTCTCCAAAAACACAAAAACCAAACAAAAACAAAGTAGGAACAAAGAAGAGCTCCATCAGATTAAGAGCTGAACATTCCCCTTTTCCTGTAGAAAAGCCATGAATCCAGCTATCTTTTGTCAAAATAGTGTTTGAGGGCCCTTGTCTTTGTCAGCCTCTGACATGTCTCTGATCTTCTGCAAATTCCCAGGGTCAGAGAGCTTCACAAGTATGAGGAAATACACAAAAGGCCAGAGCATGACTAGAAATCCCAAATATGTGAATACCAATCCAAGACAGACAGACTTCTATGGAGATCAGCTGTGTGGTGTTAGTCTCTCACTGGGTGGTGTGGTGGTGGGTATCTGTAATCCCAGTTACTTGGGAGGCAGATGTGGAAGGACTACTTGAGCCCAGGAGATTGAGACCAGCCTGGGCAACACAGCAAGACCCCATCTTAAAAAATAAAACTTGGCCAGGTGTGGTGGCTCACACCTGTAGTCCCAGCACTTTGGGAGGCCAAGGCAGGTAGATCATGAGGTCAAGAGATCGAGACCATCCTGGCCAACAGAGTGAAACCCCATCTCTACTAAAAATACAAAAATTAGCTGGGCATGGTAGCAGGTACCTGTAATCCCAGCTACTTCGCAGGCTGAGGCAGAAGAAACACTTGAACCCGGGAGGCAGAGGTTGTGGTGAGCCAACATCACACCACTGTGTTCCAACCTGGGCAACAGAGTGAGACTCCATCTCAAAAATAAAATAAATAAAACTCTCCTTCTTTCCTCACTCACTGTAGCTCTACAACAGAGGTAATTTCCTGAGAATCACACAAGCTCTGGATGCAGCCATTGGTACCTGATCAATGTGTGTGACATTCCGAATCCCAAAGGCAATGGTGTAAATATCAAACTTGTCATCATCAAAGGGCAGTTCTTCAGCATCTCCTAATACCCATGCAAGTCCTGAAAGAGAAAATGAGTTTGAGGTCTCAGTCTCAGCAGCTGTTTTTCCTGTACCCAGTGAATGTACTTCATGCAGAGTACTGTGCTTGAGAGCCTAAGTCCTGGGTGTTAGGCTTCCTGGAGTAGAATCCCAGGTTCACCATTTATTAGCGGCATATTCCTTATGTATACATATTTTCCCTTTTATATTTTTAATTTATTTTTAATTAATTATCATTTTTTAGACATGGGGGGTTAGTCTTGCTTTCTCATCCAGGCTGGAGAACAGTGGCACAATCACAGCTCACTGCATCCTCAAACACCTAGACTCAATGATCCTCCTGCCTTAGCATCCCCAGTACTTGAGACTATAGGCACACACCACTCTGTCCAGCTAATTTTTAAAAATGTCTTCCGGAGAGATGAGGTCTCATCATCTTGCCCAAGCTGATCTCAATCTCCTGAGCTCAAGCAATCCTCCCGCCTTGGCCTCCCAAAGTGCTGGGATTACAGATGTGAGCCACTGTGCCTGGCCTGTATATTCTTTTTTTTGTTTGTTTGGAGACAGAGTCTTGCTCTGTTGCCAGACACCGGGCTGGAGTGCAGTGGTGCGATCTCGGCTCACTGCAATCTCTGCCTCCCAGGTTCAAGCAATTCTCCTGCCTCAGCCTCCTGAGTAGCTTCGATTACAGGCACATGCCACCACGCCTAGCTAATTTTTGTATTTTTAGTAGAGACGGGGTTTCACCATGTTGGCCAGGATGGTCTCGATCTCTTGACCTCGTGATCCACCCGCCTCGGCCTCCCTAAGTGCTGGGATTACAGGCATGAGCTACCGTGCCCAGCCTTGTATATTCTTGAATAAACTTCTTTGTCTCAGTTTCCTCATCTGTAAAATGGAGTTTAAAACTAGTGCTGCCGGGCGCGGTGGCTCAAGCCTGTAATCCCAGCACTTTGGGAGGCCGAGGCGGGTGGATCACGAGGTCAAGAGATCGAGACCATCCTGGCCAACATGGTGAAACCCCGTCTCTACTAAAAATACAAAAAATTAGCCGGGCGCGGTGGCTCAAGCCTGTAATCCCAGCACTTTGGGAGGCCGAGGCGGGTGGATCACAAGGTCAAGAGACCATCCTGGTCAACATGGTGAAACCCTGTCTCTACTAAAAATACAAAAAAATTAGCTGGGCATGGTGGTGCATGCCTGTAATCCCAGCTACTCAGGAGGCTGAGGCAGGAGAATTGCCTGAACCCAGGAGGCGGAGGTTGCAGTGAGCCGAGATCGTGCCATTGCACTCCAGCCTGGGTAACAAGAGCGAAACTCCGTCTCAAAAAAAAAAAAAAGCCGGGCGCGGTGGCTCACGCCTGTAATCCCAGCACTTTGGGAGGCCGAGGCGGGTGGATCACGAGGTCGAGAGATCGAGACCATCCTGGTCAACATGGTGAAACCCCGTCTCTACTAAAAATACTAAAAATTAGCTGGGCATGGTGGTGCGTGCCTGTAATCCCAGCTACTCAGGAGGCTGAGGCAGGAGAATTGCTTGAACCCAGGAGGCGGAGGTTGTGGTGAGCCGAGATCGTGCCATTGCACTCCAGCCTGGGTAACAAGATCGAAACTCCGTCTCAAAAAAAAAAAAAAAAAAAAAAAAAAAAAAAAAAAAAATTAGCTGGGCATGGTGGCACGTGCCTGTAATTCCAGCTACTCAGGAGGCTGAGGCAGGAGAATTGCCTGAACCCAGGAGACGGAGGTTGTCGTGAGCCGAGATCGCGCCATTGCACTCCAGCCTGGGTAACAAGAGTGAAACTCTGTCTCAAAAAAAAAAACAAAAACAAAAACAAAAACAAAAACTAGTGCCTACGACTGGTCTGAAGGTAGTGAGTTATCTCAATTGATTGTTCACAGTCAGTCACAGATTGAACTCCTTGTTCTACTCTTTCCCCCCTTCTCACTACTGCACTTGACTAGTCTAAAAATAAAATAAAAAAAGAAAAACTAGTGCCTACTTTATAGGGGTACTGGAAGTATTAACTGAGTTGCTCTAAGTATGGAATTTAGCATAGTTATCCTGGTTTTATTGGAATCACAGAGCATCAAAGTGTCCAGGTCTGAGGCCAGGTCATAAATTCAGAGATCACCAGAGGGCCCCCTATCAGGGTCGCTATGTCCTCCAAGGATCTTGATTTGGCTTTAACATCAAGATCTACAGCAAATTAGATGTAAAATACAAAAAGAAGACTCTATAGAGAAAGGTAAATGAAAATAACCCTTCTGGAAAGTAAATTAGCAGTATCTAACAAAGGCTTTAAAAACAAGTATACCTTTTGACCCAATGATCTGATTTTTACGAAAAGGACACTGACATCACCATCATAGCTACTGCCATGGGGCCTTTATCAACTACAGGGTCTGAGTTATTTACGTACATCTTTAGATAGGTGATCTTAGTACACCCTCATACCAACTCTGTGAGATAGTTGTTATGTTTCAGGTCAGCAAAGTGAGTATCAGAAAGGTTAAAAGTCTGAGCTGAGCCCAATGTTATGCACCTGTAATCCCAGAGACTCAGGAGGCTAGGGCAGGAGGAGAGCTTGAACCCAGGAGTTCAAGACCAACCTGGGTAACACAGCAAGACCATATCTTGAAACAATAAAAAGCAAAAAGAGAAACGTTAAAAGTTGCTTGCCCAAGGACACAGATGGACTCGAACCCAGAGTCTATTTTTTTTTTTTTTCCTTTTTTTTTTTTTTTGAGATGGAGTTTTGCTCTTGTTACCCAAGCTGGAGTGCAATGGCGCGATCTCGGCTCACCGCAACCTCCGCCTCCTGGGTTCAGGCAATTCTCCTGCCTCAGCCTCCTGAGTAGCTGAGATTACAAGCATGCGCCACCATGCCCAGCTAATTTTTGTGTTTTTAGTAGAGACGGGGTTTCACCATGTTGACCAAGATGGTCTCGATCTCTTGACCTCGTGATCCACCCACCTCGGCCTCCCAAAGTGCTGGGATTACAGGCTTGAGCCACCATGCCCGGCTCTCTTCTTTTTTTTTTTTTTTTTTTTTTTTGAGACGGAGTTTCGCTCTTGTTACCCAGGCTGGAGTGCAATGGCGCCATCTCGGCTCACCGCAACCTCCGCCTCCTGGGTTCAGGCAATTCTCCTGCCTCAGCCTCCTGAGTAGCTGGGATTATAGGCACGCACCACCATGCCCAGCTAATTTTTTTTGTATTTTTTAGTAGAGACGGGGTTTCGCCATGTTGACCAGGATGGTCTCGATCTCTTGACCTTGTGATCCACCCGCCTCGGCCTCCCAAAGTGCTGGGATTACAGGCTTGAGCCACCGCGCCCGGCTCTTCTTTTGTTTTTGAGAGAGAGTCTCACTCTGTTGCCCAGGCTGCAGTGCAATCGTGCAATCTTGGCTCACTGCAACCTCCGCCTCCCAGGTTCAAATGATTCTCCTGCATCAGCCTCCCGAGTAGCTGGACTTACAGGAGCCTACCACCATGCCTAGCTAACTTTTGTATTTTTAGTAGAAATGGGGTTTGGCCAGGCTGGTCTCTTGAACTTCTAACCTCAAATGATCTACCTATCTTGGCCTCCCAAAGCGCTGTGATTACAGGCATGAGCCAGTGTGCCCAGCCTAACTTTTTTTTTTTTTTTTTTTTAAAGACAGGGGTTCGCTATGTTGGTCAGGCTGATCTTGAACTCCTGACCTCAGGTGATCCGCCCGCCTTGGCCTCCAAAGGGCTTGGATTCTAGGTGTGAGCCACAACACTTGGCCTATAACTTTTATATTTATTAAATAATTTCTAGGGTCCTCCTACTTAGTTTCTACTTTTTTTCCATGATGTTTTTGCAAAGGTATGATTATTGGAAACTGATAGAGCAAGGATGAAAGATAAAACTGTACTATGGGGCACTTAATAATTCTTACACAGTCCGGGCGCCGTGGGTCAGGAGATGAGGTCAAGAGATCAGGAGATCAAGACCATACTGGCCAACATGGTAAAACCCTCTCTCTACTAAAATACAAAAAAATTAGCTGGGTGTGGTGGTACATGCCTGGAATCCCAGCTACTCAGAAGGCTGAGGCAGAATTGATTAAACCCAGGAGGCGGAGTTTGCAGTGAGCCAAGATCACACTACTGCACTCCAGCCTGGCAACAGTGAGACTCTGTCTCAAAAAAACCATTAATAATAATAATAAATAATGGCTAAGCGTGCATTTGTCTTGGTGGTTAGGAAAGCTCAAAGGGCAGGCTATGCAATAGAAGAGATGATTCCAGAAATGGAACACTGCCTATCATTTCAATATCTTTGTTTTCCATTCTTTATGGCTGAGTACCAGAGAGAAGGAAACACATTTGTCAGTAGGAGTAAGGAAATACAGTGCCTTTGTCTAAAAACACTAGTGACTCTCTGTCTTCTGACCAGTATTGATGGTTAACAAAGGAACCCTTCAGCCTGGGGGCCAAGTGGGCTGCAGTTCATCTAAGCAGCTCCTTCTGGGGGTGGGAGGAGGAGAAGGAGGAAGAATTGAGCTAAAATAACCATAGACACTCTTGATGGGGGAGGAGAAGGAGAGAAATGCTGAAGTAGACCTGAGGGACATTCTTTGTTGTATACCACTGCCCTTCAGTGGCCATCTGTGGCACCTGGCCAGCGTGGAAGAGGGCAGAGTAGCAGCTCTGCAAAGCTGGGTCGGCCACAGTGCCTCATGCCTGTAATCCTAACACTTTGGGAGGCAGAGGTGGGTGGATCACATGAGGCCAGGAGTTCCAGACTAGTCTAGCCAACACGATAAAACTCCATCTCTACTAAAAACACAAAAAAATGGCTGGGCGCAGTGGCTCATGCCTGTAATCCTAGCTAACTATACTCCTTGTGGCTGAAGGGCAAGTTATTTATTTTTCTATTTTTTAAAATTCTTTTCTTTTTTGTGTGTGTGTGGCTTGTTCATGAGGCAATTAAATTTCTTTAGAGACAGGGTCTCTGTCACTCAGGCTGGAGTACAGAGGTGCAATCATAGCTTACTGCAGCCTGGAACTCTTGGGCTGAAGTAATCATCCCATCTTGGCCTCCCAAAGTTCTGGGATTACAGGTGTGAGCCATGGGCCCACCTATAATATGGGCCCAGCCTCGAGTTCTTTCTTTACAGGAAATGAGAGGTCCAGTTGCACAGCAATCAAACTATCTTTGGACAGGAGTATAGAATGGACAGGAGAATAGATGGTTCAAGAATGGGAATGATATACCAAGGTCACCCTGAAGCTCCTGGGAAATGACAGCAAAACTTTTCTCAGGGTCTGAGAGCTGAGATCTGAAGATTCAGCTTCAGTTTGGGATGTGTCACTGAGAAGTTGTGTGACTTGGTTAAGATTCTTGACTTCTGGCCGGGCGCGGTGGCTCAGCCTGTAATCCCAGCACTTTGGGAGGCCGAGGCGGGTGGATCACGAGGTCAAGAGATCGAGACCATCCTGGTCAACATGGTGAAACCCCGTCTCTACTAAAAATACAAAAAATTAGCTGGGCATGGTGGCGTGTGCCTGTAATCCCAGCTACTCAGGAGGCTGAGGCGGGAGAATTGCCTGAACCCAGGAGGCGGAGGTTGCGGTGAGCCGAGATGGCGCCATTGCACTCCAGCCTGGGGTAACGAGAACGAAACTCCGTCTCAAAAAAAAAAAAAAAAAAAAAAAAAGATTCTTGACTTCTTTGGGCTCTGGTGATCTCCGCAGTCACACAGGGCTAGGTAAGCTCATTCAATGGGTTGCTATGCATAAATAATGCATATAACACCACACAAACTATATTCAGCCATGCAAATGCTCTTCAACCTGCCCATCTGTAAGTTTCTGAAAGCCAGAAGATAAAGCATTTCAATATTTCACACACACCACCTTACTCTATGAAAATACAAACATTTCGCCTGTGTCTGTCTTCTGCAGGACTCACCAGCTCTGTATCCTTGAGCCAAGGCTTTCTGCTTTCCAACCTTTAGCATCTCCTTGTTGATGTCACACACCATGACATGAGACCCGCCCAAGGAATCTTCTTCATTCTGGTACTCTTTGGCAATTTCTTCCCAGGATAAACTTTGTTGGGCCCTTAACTGCCTTTTCTGTTTTCTCTGATGCTGGGACTGAACATAATTTAGGAACCGGAATGCAATGTCACCTGTGAGAAGCCAACACGAGGAAAGATGCAGACTAAAACAAAAGTAAAAAAGGAAGAAGCAGCATTCCTAAAACCAAAAGGGGTAACAGAGGCACAGGAGTACGTGTTAGCTAACTGCACTCAGTGTGGCTGAAAGGCAAGTCCTTTCTTCTTTCTGTTAGAGACAGGGTCATAGTCTTGTCACCCTGGCTGGAGTGCAGAGGCACAATCATAGCTGAGTATGTGAACGTGAAAGTTTCTACTCATTTCAACACTTTTTTTTTTAATTTAAAAAATTGGGCCAGGCACGGTGGCTCATGCCTGTAATCCCAGCACTTTGGGAGGCCGAGGCTGATGGATTGCCCGAGGTCAGGAGTCTGAGACCAGCCAGGCCAACAAGATGAAACCCTGTTTCTACTAAAAATACAAAACTTGCCGGGCGCGGTGGCTCAAGCCTGTAATCCCAGCACTTTGGGAGGCCGAGGCGGGTGGATCACGAGGTCGAGAGATCGAGACCATCCCGGTCAACATAGTGAAACCCCGTCTCTACTAAAAATACAAAAAATTAGCTGGGCATGGTGGCACGTGCCTGTAATCCCAGCTACTCAGGAGGCTGAGGCGGGAGAATTGCCCGAACCCAGGAGGCGGAGGTTGCGGTGAGCCGAGATCGTGCCATTGCACTCCAGCCTGGGTAACAAGAGCGAAACTCCGTCTCAAAAAAAAAAAAAAAAAAAAAAAAAAAAAAATACAAAACTTAATCAGGTGTGGTGGCACATGCCTGTAATCCCAGCTACTTGGGAGGCTGAGCCAGGAGAATTGCTTGACCCCAGGAGGCGGAGGTTACAGGGAGCTAAGATCGCACCACTGCACTTCAGCCTGGGGGATAGAGTGAGACTCCGTCTCAGAAAAAAAAAAATTTTTTTTTTTTTTTTTTTTTTTTTTGGTAGAATCAGGGTCTCACTATGTTGCTGAGGCTGTCCTACAACTTCTGGGCTCAAGTAATCATCCTGCCTCAGCCTCCCAAGTAGCTGGGACTATAGGCATATACCATCCTTACTGACTAGTCTCTTTATTTATTTATATATATATATATATATATATATATATATATATATATATTTTTTTTTTTTTTTTTTTTTTTTTTTTTTTTTTTGAGACAAGGTCTTGCTCTGTCTCCCAGGCTGGAGTGCAGTGGCACAATTATGGCTCACTGCAGCCTTGACTTCCTGGGCTCAAGAGATCCTCCCATTTCAGCCTCCTGAGTAGCTGGGACTATAGGTGTGTGCCACCAGATCCCGCTAATTTTTAAAAACCTTTTGTAGTTGGCGGGGCGCAGTCGCTCATGCCTGTAATCCCAACACTTTGGGAGGCTGAGGCATGCGGATTACCTGAGGTCAGGAGTTCTAGACCAGCCTGGCCAACATGGTGAAACCCCATCTCTACTAAAAATACAAAAATTAGCTGGGTGTGGTGGTGGGCACCTGTAATTCCAGCTACTCAGGAGGCTGAGGCAGGAGAATTGCTTGAACCTGGGAGGTGTAGGTTGCAGTGAGTGAAGATCTCATCACTGCACTCCAGCCTGGGTGAAAGAGCGAGACTCCATCTCAAAAAAACAAAAAACATAACTTTTTGTAGAGATGGGGTGACACTATGTTGCCCAGGCTGGTCTTGAACTCCTGGGCTCAAGGGATTCTCCCACCTCAGCCTCCCAAAGTGCTGGAATTAAACCGGGCACGGTGGCTCATGCCTGTAATCCTAGCACTTTGGGAGGCTGAGGTGGGTGGATCACCTGAGGTCAAGAGTTCAAGACCAAAGTGCTGGAATTACAGGCATAAGCCACTGTGCCCAGCCTCTGGCTAGTATTTTTCATTTTCTTTCTTTTTCTGAGATAAAGTCTGGCTCTATCACCTAGGCTGGAGTGCAGTGGAGCAGTCTTGGCTCACTGCAACCTTTGTCTCCTATACTCAAGCCATTGTCTCACTTCTTTCTCAAAAAAAAAAAAGAAAAATAAAAAGAAACCAGGAGAGCGAGATCACAGCCAATTTCCTAAACAGGCCAGTTTAAATCTTCAGTTAGCATGAGAGTGAAGTTTCTTCTGCCCCAAGCCTTACATAAAAAAGGTAACCTAAAGTGACATATAAACTAAACAGTTTTGTTTTGTTTTTTTGACACAGGGTCTCCCTCTGCCGCCCAGGCTGGATGGAGTGCAATGGCGTGGTCTTGGCTCACTGGAACCTCCTCCTCCCTGGTTCAAGCAATTCTCCTGCCTCAGCCTCCCAATAGCTGGGATTACAGGCACGAACCACCATGCGCGGCTAATTTTTCGTATTTTCAGTAGAGATGGAGTTTCACTATGTTGGCCAGGCTGGTCTTGAACTCCTGACCTCAGGTGATCCACCCACCTTGGCTTCCCAAAGTGCTGGGAGTACAGATGTGAACCACTGCACCCAGCCAATCCTGTGTATTTTAGAAACGTGACAAGCACAAAACTGATATTCTATGCTTTCGATTGATATTCAGTCAAAAAAAGAAGTGAATGCCTTTCTCAGAAGTTATAAGTATGCTGATTTTCAATGACCATCTTCAGCCTGTTAGGTGAGCTAGCTCATTACAAGACAAATTAATTTTTGTAAAACATGCTCAATGGTAGTGTAGGATACCAAACTCAATTATTACCTGTGCCTCCAGCAACATCAAGCAGCTGGGTCCCAGGAAGCGGATGCATCTTCCAGAGCAGCAAATCCTTCCAAAGACGATGGATACCAAGACTCATCATATCATTCATCACATCATACTTCTTAGCCACACTTTCAAACACCTGATAGACTGACATGGAAGAAACACATACAATTGTGCTATTAACAGTATTCACTCAGAAAAATCCTAAACAGGCCAGGCGCAGTGGCTTACGCCTGTAATCCCAGCACTGTGGAAGGCCAAGGTGGGCAGATCACAAGGTCAGGAGTTCGAGACCATCTGGCCAACATAGTGAAACCCCACCTCTTTTAACAATACAAAAATAAGCCAGTGTGGTGGCGTGCGTCAGTAATCCCAGCTACTCAGGAGGCTGAGGCAGGAGAATCGCTTGAACCTGGGAGGCAGAGGTTGTAGTGAGCTGAGATTGTGCCACTGCACTCCAGCCTAGGCGACAGAGATACTCGGTCTCAAAAAAAAAAAAAAAAAAAAGGAAAATCCTAAACAAAAAAGGAAGAAGCTTTTTTCCCCTGAAATGGCCTGTCTTTGCAAGATGAAACTATGTCATAATGCTTGATGTCCAAATCTACACTTTAACATTACCTCTTTATTTATTTTTCCTGCCTCAGGTTTATTTATACAAATAGCACAGGAGGATCCCAACCCCATACAGACAGCAGCGGGCGGGGTCATGCCAGTCCTTCTGTCCTCACATTGAAAGACAAGAGACACCTACTCTGAAGCCTTTGTAGAGGCCTGAGCTGGAACTGAAGCTGGAGCTGCAGCCTAGGCCTTGGTTTGGGAGGCCAAAGTGGGTGGTTCACTTGAGGTCAGGAGTTCAAGACTAGCCTGGCCAACATGGCAAAACCCTGTCTCTACTAAAAACACAAAAATTAGCCAGGTATGGTTGTGCACACCTGTAATCCCAGCTACTTGGGTAGCTGAGGCAGGAGAATCAGTCGAACCTAGGAAGTGGAGGTTGCAGTGAGCTGAAATTGGACCACTGTATTCCAGCATGGGCGAGTGAGAGACTCTGTTTCAAAAAAAAAGATGAAAGATGCATGATTAATGGATGGGAAGACCTCAGCTTATGTCTGCCTATATCACTGAGAACCTTAGGTACAATTTGATGGGCACCTACATACCAAGCTGTGAATCAGGGATAAATCACAATTTAGAGGGCTCTCATGAGTCTTCTCCATAGGATCAATGCAGACTGGAATCTGAGATAGCTAAAGAGAGAAAGAGTCTACTATCCAAGACTCTCAGAAGTGTTTCCCTTTGAAGTTACATTTAACTGTTTTGCACCTCAGCTTCTCTCCCCATAAGATGACTATATCAATGCCAGCTCCCAACTCCCTGCCAGAAGGTTGAATTGGATAACGAAGAGGAGATGCTTTGAGTTTCTAAGATGAAATGTGCTGCACAGATCCAAATATGACTCTCTTCTGCTGAATCAGACTACAGAGCCCGCCTTTAACTCAATCTTCAATGCCTATTCTCAACCTTGAGATTTCCAAGTGTGCTCTTTTTTCATTTGTGGGTTTTTTTTTTTTGAGATGCAGTCTAGCTCTGTCACCCAAGCTGGAGTACAGTGGCACAATCTCGGCTCACTGCAACCTCTGCCTCCTGTGTTCAAGCAATTCTGCCTCAGACTCCTGAGCAGCTGCAATTACAGGTGCTTGCCACCATGCCTGGCTAATGTTGTATTTTAGTAGAGACAGGGTTCCACCATGTTGGCCAGGCTGGTTTCAAACTCCTGACCTCAGGATCAGCCCACCTCAGCCTCCCAAAGTGCTGGGATTACAGGCGTGAACCACCTCGTCCAGCCTGCTGTTTTCTTTTGAGCATCTTTTGGGGTATCTAAGGGACACTAAAGCTTACCCACTGAGTATAAACAGTCCTTGCTGGCACAGTGGCATACACCTGGAGTGCCAGCTACTCGGGGGTCTATGGGGGAGGACTGCTTGAACCCAGGAGTTCAAGGCTGCAGTGTGCTATGATTGTGCCTATAAACAGCCATTGCACTCCAGCCTGGGCAGCATAGTGAGACCTTGTGTCAAAAATAAACAAATAGTCCTTGCTTTGCATGTTCCAATATGCATGAATTTCAGTTACTGTGGATTAGCTAAATAACACCAGTCCCCCAACACCACAATTCAAGTACAATGGTATTATCAAATGTAAGTAATTACGTAAAGTACATTCTTTTTTTTAGACGGAGTTTCGCTGTTGCCCAGGCTGGAGTGCAATGGCACGATCTCGGCTCACTGCAACCTCCACCTCCTGGGTTCAAGCTATTCTCCCATCTCAGCCTCCTGAGTAGCTGAGATTACAGGTATCTGACACCATGTCTGGCTAATTTTTTTTTTTTTAACATAAACTCAAGATATTATTGTCTTCATAAAAGATGACACTTACAACTGGATCATCTGGCCCTTTCTCTTCTTATCTCCTCCCAGTTCAAAATGCTTGCATCTTTTAATAGCCAGCATTCTCTTAGATCTGCAGTTGGGCTCAAGGCACTCGAGCCTCAGCACAATCTTCTTTGTAGTTTTAGCCTTTTTCAGGAAAATCGCCTTAGTTTGCCCACCATAGCCACTCTGCTTCCTGTCATAATGCCGCTTTCCCTGGGCATACAGAGAATCCTTGCCCTTCTTGTACTGTGTCACTTTGTGGGGTTGGTACTTGCCACACTACATACAGAAAGTCTGGCAGGTTTTAGGAACGTTTACCATTTTTGCATGAGAGCTACCGGCATGGAAAGCGCCTGGCTAATTTTGTATTTTTTACTAGAGAAGGGGTTTCTCCATGTTGGCTGGGCTGGTCTTGAACTCCTGACCTCAGGTGTTCCTCCCGCCTCGGCCTCTCAAAGTGCTGGGATTACAGGCATGAGCCACTGCGCCTGGCCCTAAAGTACATCCTTTAGTCTACAAATCATTATGTAAATAACAGATACACAGCATGATCAGTAACCAATCACATACTTCTTTCACAGACCTTAGGTGACTCGTCACTGTACCAGTGACTCAGTTCACAGACAGCAGCAATTTGCCAAGGCATAGAAAAGCTATTACATATGACAAGAAGGTAGCAAATAATGATCAAACTACTCTTGGCAAATTTTTGACAAGGAAATAAAACAAATTCTCAAGGTTTCTAATTTTTTATTCAAATTTTTTTTCTTTGACAGCCTTGCTCTGTTGCCTAGACTAGAGTGCACTGGCACAAACTTGGCTCACTGCAACCTCCACTCCCAGATTCAAACAACCCACCTACCTCAGCCTCCTAATTAGCTGCAATTACAAGCATGCGCCACCATACCCAGCTAATTTTTTTTTGTATTTTTAGTAGAGATGAAGTTTCACCATGTTAGCCAGGCTGGTCTCAAACTCCTGACTTCAAGTGATCTGCCCACCTCAGCCTCCCAAAGTGCTGGGATTACAAGTGTGAGCCATCGTGCCCAGCCATAAATAAATATTAGCTTTAGTATATATTTAGTATATTTTTTCATTTCTCTATACATTTGTAACTGACAGGGTTTTAATTATATCTATATTAGATATATCTAATAATAAAATTATTAGAATAATTATAATTTTTCCCATTAAGGTCATTGTGCCTAACTTCAGCTTGCACATTTTCTTTTTTTTTTTTTTTTTTTGAGACAGAGTCTCACTCTGTTGCTGCCAGACTGGAGTGCAGTGGTGCAATCTTGGCTCACTGCAACCTCCACCACCCGGGTTCAAGCCATTCTCTTGCCTCAGCCTCCTGAGTAGCTGGTACTACAGGCATCTGCCACCACACCCAGCTAACTTTTTGTATTTTTAGTAGAGATGGTGTTTCACCATGTTGGCCAGGATGGTCTCAATATCTTGACTTCATGATCTGCCCGTCTTGGCCTCCCAAAGTGCTGGGATTACAGGTGTGAGCCACCATGCCCCACCTTTTTTTTTTTTTTTTTTTGAGACAGTCTCGCTCAACTGCCCAGGCTGGAGTGCAGTGGTGCAATCTTGGCTTACTGCAACCACTGTCTTCCGGGTTCAAGCAATTCTCCCATCTCAGCCTCCTGAGTAGCTGGGATTACAGGAATCTGCCATCATGTCTGGCTAACTGCTGTATTTTAGTACAGATGGGGTTTTCACCATATTGGCCAGGCTGGTCTTGAACTCCTGACCTCCGGTGATCTGACTGTTTTGGCCTCCCAAAGTGCTAGGATTATAGGCTTGAGCCACTGCGCCCAGCCAGCTTGCCAATTTTCAGTCTTGCATTACTGTGCAAGACAAGGACTGTCTATACTGCAATCTCAGTCCCCAATCTGGAACTAAAGTTTAGTCCAGTAGGTAACTTCTTCCCTGCTTGCGACTGTGTGAAATGTTGATTAAACTTTGTAAAGCACAATAAGGAAATTAGGCATTATTATTATTATTCCTAATTACTCCATAAGAGTATATACTTTGTGAGTAACCCACCCCAATTCAAATCTCAGCTCTGCCTCTTATTAGGAGAATCTTGGGCAAGTGATTTAACATATTTGTTTCACATTTTCTTCATTTATAAAACTAGGGTAAGGTGGGCATGGTGACTCATGCCTGTAATCCCAGAGGCTGAGGCAGGTGGATCACTTGAGGTCAGGCGTTCGGGACCAACCTGGCTAACATGATGAAACCCTGTCTCTACTAAAAATACAAAAATTAGCAGGGCATAGTGGCAGATGCCTGTAATCCCAGCTACTGGGGAGGCTGAGGCAGGAGAATCGCTTAAACCTGGGAGGTGGAGGTTGCAGTGAACCAAGATCGAGCCACTGGACTCCAGCCTGGGCAACAGAGGGAGACTCAATGCCCCCTAAAAAAAACTGGACTAATAGTTCTTATCTTACAGTTTCAGTCATAAGAATTAATGTGTCACTATGAACATGAGAAAGATAAGTTAAAATATTAAAAAAATAGCTGGGCACAGTGGCTCAAGCCTGTAATGCCAGCACTTTGGGAGGCCAAGGCGGGTGGATCATGAGGTCAAGAGATCGAGACCATCCTGGTCAACATGGTGAAACCCTGTCTCTACTAAAAATACAAAAAATTAGCTGGGCATGGTGGCACGTGCCTGTAATCCCAGCTACTCAGGAGGCTGAGGCAGGAGAATTGCCTGAACCCAGGAGGCGGAGGTTGCGGTGAGCCGAGATCGTGCCATTGCACTCCAGCCTGGGTAACAACAGCGAAACTCTGTCTCAAATAAATAAATAAATAAATAAGAATTAAAGTGAAATATTTTAGAAGGTTTCAGACCCTTAATAAGTGCTTGCTACTACACTTGACTAGTCTTAAAAATAAAAAATAAAATAAAATAAAAAATAAAATGTTTGGTATCATTGTACTTGGTTCTGCTTATTTCATTCCATAAGCAGTTACAAGCTCCTTATGTGCTTCAGGCACTGAGGAAATAGGAATGGATGAACCTGGCATTCTGGGTATGCAGTCCTGTGACAAAAATATTAATTTGAATTTGACGTTCAAAGTGTTAAAGTAGAGCTATGTATTAGCAAGGTTGAGGTGGGCAGTATTTAAGGGGATGGGAAATTCCACTGTGGGCACTTTCCCTTATTTCCTGGGTAACTCAGTAAAGAAACTGCTCAGAACCTCACCTTATACATCTGTAAAATGGGCCTATACCTTCATAATTATAAATACTACTGGTAGAGTTTAAAACAGTCCTGATCTTTTCCTTCATATACCCACTTCCTGATGTTTCCTTGAGCCTCTCCTTCCTTGCAATAAAAAATAAAAAATAAATAAAAAATTAAAAAAATCCTTTTCTTTTCCTATTGCCTGTGGCACAGTGCTGACAAAAAGAAACTGCTTAACAGTATCTAACATTATTGAACAATTACTAAGTGCCAGGGGCTGTTTAAAGTGCTTTCATGTATCAAATATTTTGATACTCACAAGAACTCCAAGAGAAGAAGGGTTACAGTTAGTCCTACTCGGCAAATTTGGAAGCTGAGGTTCACAGAAGATAGTTTCCCTCTTTCTTTCTTTTCTTTTCTTTTTTTTTTTTTTTGAGACAGAGTTTCGCTCTTGATGCCCAGGCTGGAGTGCAATGGCGCGATCTAGGCTCACCGCAACCTCCGCCTCCTGGGTTCAGGCAATTCTCCTGCCTCAGCCTCCTGAGTAGCTGGGATTACAGGCACACGCCACCATGCCCAGCTAATTTTTTGTATTTTTAGTAGAGACGGGGTTTCACCATGTTGACCAGGATGGTCTCGATCTCTTGACCTCGTGATCCACCCGCCTTGGCCTCCCAAAGTGCTGGGATTACAGGCTTGAGCCACCGCGCCCGGCTCCCTCTTTCTTTAAAAAAAAAAAAAAAAACAAAACCTATTTTTCTCAAGAGTTAAAGAACGTGGGCTTCGGCAGCCTAGGCGCGGTGTCTCAAGCCTGTAATCCCAGAACTTTGGGAGGCTAAGGCAGGTGGCTCACGAGGTCAAGAGATCGAGACCATTCTGGTTAACATGGTGAAACCCCGTCTCTACTAAAAATACAAAAAAAAAAAAAAAATTACTCGGGCATGGTGGCGCGTGCCTGTAATCCCAGCTACTCAGGAGGCTGAGGCAGGAGAATTGCCTGAACCCAGGAGGCGGAGGTTGCGGTGAGCCGAGATCGCGCCATTGCACTCCAGCCTGGGTGACAAGAGCGAAACTCCGTCTCAAAGAAAAAAGAAAAGAACGTGGGCTTCGGACTCAGATTAAACTGGGTTTGAATACTGGTTCGGTCACTTACTAAATATGTTCAATTGGGCAACTTCTTGCTTAATCTTTAAGTCTCAATTTCCTCACGTGTAATATGGTAATAACAATTCCCACTAATAGTGAAATGAGAATTGAAAATAATGTCTGTACATTGCCTGACACATCACAAACGCTCAGTTGATGGCATTTAGTTAACATTATTTTGCTTTAAAAAAATGGGCGTCTAAGCGCCGCCGGGTCAGGCAGGGGACACTTCTTAGAAATCAGAACTGCAGCCGGGCGCGGTGGCTCAAGCCTGTAATCCCAGCACTTTCGGAGGCCGAGGCGGGCGGACCACCTGACGTCGGGAGTTCGAGACCAGCATGACCAACATGGAGAAACCCTGTCTCTACTAAAAATAAAAAATTAGACGGGCACATGCCTGTAATCCCAGCTACTTGGGAGGCTGAGACAGGAGAATCGCTTGAACCGGGAAGGGGAGGTTACGATCAGCCGAGATCGCGCCACTGCACTCCAGCCTGGGCAACAAGAACGAAACTCCGTCTTAAAAACAACAACAAAAATAAATCAGAACAGCACAGCCAACAACACTGGAACTAACCGGATGTTAAATCAACCTTAACTGGCCAGAAGAAACGAGACTACGGACGGTCAGATCCTTCCATCCACCCTCTCGCCCCTTTCACCTTTGCCCCCCTTCTCCTCTTCCGACACAGTCTCAAACCCGAAGTGCGTTTCCGTTGCCCGCTTCTCTTGGGACAAGAGCCGCGCACTTAGTGGGGCCCCAGGCCAAGAGCTACGAAGCCCGAGGAGCTGACAGCCCCGCATCGCCCGCGACCACCTACGACCGCAATAGTTCCATAGAGCCAAGCTTCTGGGGGCCGCCATCTTGATACTCGAGTTACAAGGGCCAGAAGGTACGCCGTGTTGCGTCACCAGACGAACGACGGCGGCTGGGCGGAAACATTATTAGCCGAATGCGCCCTGAAATCTGATATTGAGGTCTGTATGCAAAATCTCTAGGATACGGATCCGTTCCTCTCTCTCTTCTCAAATTGAATTTACAATTCACCAGGAAGGAGGGGACCTCTGGGAGAACCCTGGGTCACCTCTTAGCGACCATGTCTTTGAATCCTGCTAGGCAGAAGAGTACTAACTCGTAAGATATCCAGGAACTCTTGTTTTCTGTTGCAGAAGAGGGAAATTGAGGCATGGTGTGGTTTAAAACCCAAGATCACGGGCCAATTCCTGCACACTTTGTTGAGCATAAGAATTACCTGGTTTAAGTTTTAAAATGCAGATTCCTGGGTCTCCAACAACCAGAGATTTTGAATCAATACATCTAGCATATCTCTTTAATCTCTGTTTAAACAAACTGGCGATTCTCATGCAAGAGATTTGCAGACAATTCATAAGAAACATATGCCAGACTCCTCTGAAAAATAAACATGGGACAGACTTCTTTGGTCTGTCCATTTTATGAATTTAGGAAGCTCAAAGGGCGCGGTGGCTCAAGCCTGTAATCCCAGCACTTTGGGAGGCCGAGGCGGGTGGATCACGAGGTCAAGAGATCGAGACCATCCTGGTCAACATGGTGAAACCCCGTCTCTACTAAAAATACTAAAAATTAGCTGGGCATGGTGGTGCGTGCCTGTAATCCCAGCTACTCAGGAGGCTGAGGCAGGAGAATTGCCTGAACCCAGGAGGCGGAGGTTGCGGTGAGCCGAGATCGCGCCATTGCACTCCAGCCTGGGTAACAAGAGCGAAACTCTGTCTCAAAAAAAAAAAAAAAAAAAAAAAAAAAAAAAAAAAAAAGGAAGTTCAAAAATGGTAACGAAAGTTCTGGTCCACTTAGCAAGCCAAAACCAAATACCGCTCACTTGGTCTCCTGCTGACACAAAGCTACATTCCTAGCTCCAACTGGCATGTTATGAGTGTTTCACTTCAGCCCCAGATTTTCACTCTTTTTTAATGCAAAGGGTAATGTGGACCATCTTGTGCAAAAGAAAGAATGGATATCGTTGAGTTTCTCTTGGATTACTGTATGTTTCTTTCATTCCATTTTAAATGTATGTTTCCTGTAAATATTTCACGAGGAGAAAGCGCCAATAGGAGAAACTATTTTGAAATGAAAATTCTCTTCTTGGTTTAATATAGCCTGACAGATGGACACCTACCGTTCTCATTTGGGAAGTACTGCACTGGGATTTCTGTTTCTTTCTCTTTTATTTTAAGAATGATAGAAGATCCTCGTTGATATAGTAATGAGAAAAAAAAAAAAGGAATAATACAAGGGAGAAATGACTCATCCATGTACTCATAGTTCTCATGTCTTTGTTAAAAGAAATAAAGTGGCTGGGTGCAGTGGCTCACTGTAATCACAGCACTTTGGGAGGCTGAAACCGGCGGATTGCATGAGGTCAGCAGTTTGAGACCAGCCTGGCTAACATGGTGAAACCCTGTCTCTACTAAAAATACAAAAATTCGCCAGGCATGGTGGTGCACACCTGTAGTCCAAGCTATTTGGGAAGCTGAAGCAGGAGAATCGCTTCAATCTGGGCGGCAGAGGTTGCAGTGGGCAGAGATCATGCCACTACACTCCAGCCTTGGAGACAGAGTGAGACTCCGTCTCAAAAAAAAAAAAAAAAAAAGGGATTAGTATCTAACTTATTTTATTCCATTTAAACTGTTAATTCCAAGAAAGTCATTTATTTACATACTTATTAATGTCTTTTACACCGTGTAACGATAAATAAGGAGGCACAAAGGGCCCAGTTAGTGATATTTATTTATTTATTTATTTGAGACGGAGTTTCACTCTTGTTACCCAGGCTGGAGTGCAATGGCGCGATCTCGGCTCACCGCAACCTCCGCCTCCTGGGTTCAGGCAATTCTCCTGCCTCAGCCTCCTGAGTAGCTGGGATTACAGGCACGCGCCACCATGCCCAGCTAATTTTTTGTATTTTTAGTAGAGACGGAGTTTCACCATGTTGACCAGGATGGTCTCGATCTCTTGACCTCGTGATCCACCCGCCTCGGCCTCCCAAAGTGCTGGGATTACAGGCTTGAGCCACCACGCCCGGCCCTATTTACTTTTTTCTTTTTTTTTTTTTTTTTTTTTTTTTGGTTTTTTTTTTTTTGAGACGGAGTTTCGCTCTTGTTACCCAGGCTGGAGTGCAATGGCGCGATCTCGGCTCACCGCAACCTCCGCCTCCTGGGTTCAGGCAATTCTCCTGCCTCAGCCTCCTGAGTAGCTGGGATTACAGGCACACGCCACCATGCCCAGCTAATTTTTTGTATTTTTAGTAGAGACGGGGTTTCACCATGTTGACCAGGATGGTCTCGATCTCTCGACCTCGTGATCCACCCGCCTCGGCCTCCCAAAGTGCTGAGATTACAGGCTTGAGCCACCGCGCCCGGCCGTACTTTTTTCTTTTTTGAAATGATGTTTTGTTCTTGTCACCCAGGAACACTGCAACCTCTGCCTCCCAGGTTCAAGCGGTTCTCCTGCCTCGGCCTTCTGAGTAGCTGGGATTGCAGGCACCCACCATCACTCCCTGCTATTTTTTGTATTTTACTTTATTTTTTATAGAGACAATGCTTCACCATCTTGGCCAGGCTGGTCTTGAACTCCTGACCTCGTGATCTGCTCTCCTGGGCTTCCCAGAGTGCTGGGATTACAGGCGTGAGCCACTGCATCTGGCCTATTTTTAGTATTTTTAGTAGAGATGGGTTTTCACCATGTTGGCCTGGCTAGTCTTCCTTATTCATTCTTTCTTTATTTTGAAACAGGATATCACTTTGTCACCCAGGATGGAGTGCAGTGGCACAATCACAGCTCACTCCTCACCCTCCCAGGGTCAAGTGATCCTCCCACCTCAGCCTCCTGAGTAGCTAGGACTACAGGTATGCACCACCACACTGGGCTTATTTATTATTTATTATTATTTTTTTTTGAGATGGAGTTTCGCTGTTGCTGCCCAGGCTGGTCTTTGCTATAATCCCAGCACTTTGGGAGGCCAAGGCAGACACATCTTCCGAGGTCGGGAGTTTGAGATTGCAACGGTGCAATCTTGACTCACTGCAACCTCTGCCTCCTGGGTTCAAGGGATTCTCTTGCCTCAACCTCCTGAGTAGCTGGGATTACAGGTACGTGCCACCAGGCCCAGCAATTTTTATATTTTTTATTGAGACAGGGTTTTGCCATGCTGCCCTAGCTGGTCTTGAACTCCTGGGTTTGGGCAATCCGCCCACCTCAGTCTCCCAAAGTGCTGGGATTCCAGGAGTGAACAACCACAGCTGGCCCTGTTCATTTCCTTAATAGCATGTGTATGTGATCTTTTTTTTTCCTCTCTCTCTCTTTTTTTTTTTTTTTTGAAGAGAGGGTTTCACCATGTTGGTCAGGCTGGTCTTGAACTCCCGACCTGAGGCCTTGGCCTCCAAAGTATGTGATCTTTTGAATCTCAAACTACTATGGGTGGAAGGGAATCATTTGTAATTTTCTGAAGTACAAATAGATGTGGTGTGATTTCCAAGGTCTTAGTGTCTGTATCTGTATGCCAAACTTTTTATTTTATTTTAATTTTTAGTAATGAATGGGTTTCACTATGTTGCTCAGGCTGGTCTCAAACTTAGCATCAAGTGATCCTCCTGCCTCAGCCTCCCAGAATGTTGTGATTACAGACTTGAGCCACTTTGCCTGTCCAAGTATGTGATTTTCTTTCCTTTTTTTTTTTTTTTTTTTTTGAGACGGAGTTTCGCTCTTGTTACCCAGGCTGGAGTGCAATGGCACAATCTCGGCTCACCGCAACCTCCGCCTCCTGGGTTCAGGCAATTCTCCTGCCTCAGCCTCCTGAGTAGCTGGGATTACAGGCACACGCCACCATGCCCAGCTAATTTTTAGTATTTTTAGTAGAGACGGGGTTTCACCATGTTGACCAGGATGGTCTCGATCTCTTGACCTCGTGATCCACCCGCCTCGGCCTCCCAAAGTGCTGGGATTACAGGCTTGAGCCACCGCGCCCGGCCTTTTCCTTTTTTTTTTAAAAGATGGGGTTTCACCATGTTGGCCAGGCTGGTTTTGAACTCCTGACTTTAGGTGATCCACCCACCTCAGCCTCCCAAAGTGCTAGGATTACAGGTGTGAGCCACTGTGCCTGGTGACTTTTTTTTTTTTTGAGACAGAGTCTTGCTCTGTTGCTGGAGTGCAGTGGCGGGATCTCGGCTCACTGCAACCTCCGCCTCCTGGGTTCAAGCAATTCTCCTGCCTCAGCCTCCTGAGTAGCTGGGACTACAGGGACATGCCACCATGCCCAGCTAACTTTTCTATTTTTAGTAGAGACAGGGTTTCATCATGTTGGCCAGGTTGGTCTTGATCTCTTGGCATCGTGATCCACTCACCTCGGCCTCCCAAAGTGCTGGGATTACAGGCATGAGTCACCATGCCCAGCCTCTTTTTTTCTTTTTTGAGACAGAGTCTCGCTCTGCTCTGTCATCCAGGTTGGAGTGCAATGGTGTGATCTCAGCTCACTGCAACCTCCACCTGCCAGGTTCAAGAAATTCTCCTGCCTCAGCCTCCTAAGTAGCTGGGACTACTGGCACCTGCCACCACACGTGACTAACTTATGTATTGTTAGTAGAGACGGGGTTTGACCATATTGGCCAGACTGGTCTTGAACTCCTGACCTTGTGATCTGCCCACCTTGGCCTCCCAAAGTCCTGGGATTACAGGCATGAGTCACTGTGCCCGGCCCCACATATGTGATTTTCTAAATCTCACTGTATTTGTAAAATGGGGAACTGCTTATCTCATAGGTAAGAACATCAGTTGTTAGCTATGTGATAATGGGAACATTATCTGAACTTCTGGAGTCCATTTTCTCGTCTTTAAATTTATTTTATTTAGGAACAGAGTCTTGCTGTGTTACCCAGGCTGGACTCATACTCCTGGGCTCAAGTGATCATCCCTCCTCAGCCTCCTGAGCTGGGACTACAGATACACTCAGCCTAAAATTTAGTTATTGTGAGAATTAAATGTGATAGTCCATGTTAACAGCTGTTAAATATAATTTATAGGAGGCCATCGGTTTGCACTGAGCTTCAGCACAATAGACCAAACCCAAACAGAGTTACTCAAGGTCAAGTTCTACCCAACCAGGCCTTAACTAAGTTGTTTATCTGACCTTCTGACCAAACAGGTCAGTTTTAGCCCACATAAGGAAGTCCATTCTGCTTAAACCTTTTTTTTTTTTTTTTTTTGAGATGGAGTTTCGCTCTTGTTACCCAGGCTGGAGTGCAATGGCGTGATCTCGGCTCACTGCAACCTCTGCCTCCTGGGTTCAGGCAATTCTCCTGCCTCAGCCTCCTGAGTAGCTGGGATTACAGGCACGCGCCACCATGCCCAGCTAATTTTTTGTATTTTTAGTAGAGACTGGGTTTCACCATGTTAACCAGGATGGTCTCCATCTCTTGACCTTGTGATCCACCCACCTCAGCCTCCCAAAGTGCTGGGATTACAGGCATGAGCCACCAAACCCGGCAATTTTTTTTTTTTTCTTTTTGAGACAGAGTATAGCTCTGTCGCCCAGGCTGGAGTGCAATGGCGAGATTTTGGCTCACTGCAAACTCTGCCTCCTGGGTTCAAGCAATTTATTTTTTGTGGGTATTTTTGGTAGAGACGAGGTTTCACCATGTTGGTCAGGCTGTTCTTGAACTCTTGACCTCGTGAGCCACCCGCTTCAGCCTCCCAAAGTGCTGGGATTACAGGCGTGAGCCACCAAGCCCAGCCAAGAATAAAAATAGTTTTTAAAAAGTTACTAACATGATGACTTATGTTGGAGTGTTAAAAAAAAAAAAAAAAAAAAAGTTAAGCCAAGTGTCTCACGCCGGTAATCCCAGCATTTTGGGAGGCCGAGGCAGGCGGTTTAGAGGTCAGGAGATCAAGACCAGCCTGCCCAATATGGCGAAACGCTGTCTTCACTAAAAATACAAAAATTAGCTGGGTGTGGTTGCGGGTGCCTGTAATCCCAGCTACTCGGAAGGCTGCGGCAGGAAAATCGTTTGAAACTGGGAGGCAGAGGTAGCAGTGAGCCGAGATCACACCACTACACTCCAGCCTGGTCGACAGAGCAAGACTACGTCTCAAGAAAAGAAAAAATATATATATTCTTTAGAGACAGGGGTCTAGCTATATTCCCCAGGCTGGTCTGGAACTCCTGGTCTCCAAGGATCCTTCCACCTCTGCCTCCCTAAGTGTTTGGATTACACGCATGAACCACGGTCTCCGGCCGTTTCTGCCTCAGTCTCCCGAGTAGTTGGGACCACAGGCGTGTGCCAGCACACCAGGCTAGTGAAATAAAGTGATGTACTGTGTAAAGTACTGTAAAGTGATACTAAATGTAAGGTATTGTCCTTATTGATGCTATTATTATTATTCCTAATACGAGATAGACTAAGGGCCATAAATCAATTGGTACTAATGCTGGAATTAGAACCATAAATCAAGCCTAGAAAGGAGTTCCACAGGTATTTCAATGTTTGGCTACATTATTGTTAGTGTATATTATTATTGTTACTGTATTTTTAGTGTACTAAGTCAAAAAACCTGGACCTGGAGAGAACTACAACTCGCATTATTCTGAACACCCTCACGGTGGGGTTGGAGCGGGGGTCGGGGAGGAAATTAAAAGAAGAAAACAAAACAAAACAAAACAAAAAAAACCTCTACGAACCCCGGATGTATGCAAAAACTACATTTCCCAGAATACTTCACCCCTAGCGGCTGTGTATATATATAGTCCATCCGGGTTCTTCGAGATGCTGTTTGGCGACTCGTCGCCATTCCCGGAGCAACTCAGCTTCGGCCCAGGGGCGAGTGTCCGTCGCTGTGTCGGAGACACTTGTCCCCGACACCAAGACAGCCAGCCCTCTCCCCTGCCCCGCGGCGGGAGAGCGTGTCCGGCAGGCCGGCCGGCGGGGCTCGCGCACCCTCCCTCACCTCCCCTTCCCCCGCAGCCTCCGCCCCGCCAGGCCCGGCCAGGAGTCCCGAGCCCCGGCCTCCTCCTCCTCCTCGATCACCGCTGCCGCCGGGCTTAACAGCCCCGTCTGCCGCTTCTCTTTCTAATTTGAGAAGCCAAGGAAGGAAACAGGGAAAAATGTCGCCATGAAGACCGAGAACCGCTGCCGCCGCCGACCCCCGCCGGCCCTGAACGCCATGAGCCTGGGTCCCCGCCGCGCCCGCTCCTCTCCGACCGCCGTCGCCGCCGAGGCCCCCGTTGATGCCGCTGAGCTCCCCCAACGCCGCCGCCACCGCCTCCGACATGGACAAGAACAGCGGCTCCAACAGCTCCTCCGCCTGTTCGGGCAGCAGCAAAGGGCAACAGCCGCCCCGCTCCGCCTCGGCGGGGCCAGCCGGCGAGTCTAAACCCAAGAGCGGTAAGGGCGGGCCTGCGGCAGTGGCCGGGGGCGACTGCCCCTGAGGCTGGGGAGAGTCCTTGCTCTCTGGTCTGCTGGGTTACCCTGGGACAGGCTCCCCTTTATATTATAGCTCCTACCTGCCCTTTTCCATGGCTCTAGTTAGTTATGTTAATCAGCGCTGTACTGCGTGGTTTACGTGGGTCGTTTACATTAATACTCAAAACTGCTCGAATCCCCATTTTACACATGAGGAAAGCAAGATTGAGAAAGAGTAAGGTCACCCAGCTAGTATGTGCCTCACACCAGGCCTTAAGACCTGGTTTGTCTGACTCATCACTCCACGCTCCTAAAACCACTACGTTCTTCTACCCTTTGGAGTTGAATTAACATTGGATGGTGTTCAAGTTTAGACGGGTGGGTGGGGCCGTAGGGCCTTTCAAATTTAGATCTCTTATTTAGTAATCTGGCCCCAGATCCATTCCGATGTCGAAGAGGAAGTCATTGAATGGGCTATTCAGTGTAGGGTTAAGAGCACAGACTATCAATTCAGTCTTTTTGGGTCCCAGTTTGCCAGACCTTGAGTGAGTGCCCCGAGTTTACTTACCTGTAAAGGTAGGTGGAGGTAATAGAATTAAATAAACTTGAAAAACAAAAAACAAATAAACTAAGGTCTTAGGGTATCTGACGTTTATTTTGCACGAGATACACGTCTATTTTTGTGTGTTGGACTTTCATTGTCCTTTAACAGGGATGGTTTTATTTCTGTAATCAAGTCTCTCAATATTAGATTATGACCGTAATGATGCTAGCTACCTTTAATCGAGGGCTTACCATGTAGCAAGTACTAGGTGAAGTTTTTTTTATTTTATTTTTTGAGACAGTCTCACTCCCACCCAGGTTGAAGTGCAGTGGCGTGATCTCTGCTCACTGCACCCTCCCCCTCCCGGGTTCAAGCAATTCTCCTGCCTCAGCCTCCTGAGTAGCCGGAGTTACAGGCGACTGCCACCGCACCTGGCTAATTTTTATATTTTTAGTAGAGACGGAATTTCACAATCTTTGCCAGGCTTGTCCTGAACTCCTGACCTCGTCATCCACCCGCCTCAGCCTCCCAAAGTGCTGGGATTACAGGCCTGAGCCAATTCGCCTGGCCTGAAGTTTTTACCTCTGTTATCACTGTGCCAGTCACTGACCTGTCTAGCAGGGTGAAATTGTTCATATTTAAGGAAGGAATAAGGTAAACAGGTAGGATGTTAGAAGTTGGCAGAGATTGGAGTCCAGTGTTGTTTATTTCGAAGTTTGTACTAATCTCTGCTCTCTTTTGTATTTCAATCACATTAGCAGTAATAGGAAGGTGTTGTCAGCGACACTGGGTATGTTGTGGCAGAGAGGGAAATATTTGGAGTTCCTAAATGTGGAGGTCCAGTTTAAAACAGTTAAAACAGATAAAAATCTGTAAGAGAGACTGGATGTGGTGGCTCACACCTGTAATCCCAGCACTTTGGGAGGCTGAGGTAGGGAGTGTCACTTGAGCCCAGGAATTCCACACCAGTTTGGGCAAGATTGTAAGACCCTGTCTCTATAGGAAAAAAAAAAAAAATTAGCTGGCTGTGGTGGCACACACCTGTAATCCTATCTACTCAGAAAGGTGAGGTGGGAGGATCACATAAACTCAAGGAAGTTTCAGCTGCAGTGAGTTGTATCAGGACACTGCATTCTATCCAGCCCGGGTGGCAGAGAGACACCATCACTAAACAAAACTGTAAGGCTGACTTAAACCAAACAAAATTGAACAAAAAATTGTAAGCCTTACTAACTCTTTCGGAGTTCACCTGCTGAATATAGCAAACTTGTTTACCTGGTGTGAGACCAGTAGAAGTATGGATTCTTAGGCTATGTGAGGAAATGGTATGTATGCGGACTGATTTTGCGGTTATGCACATGTGTAGCTTTGCCATAGATCCCTCAAAAGGTAGAAGGAAGCCAATCCTTTTGGTTAATATTAGAACTGGTTTAGAGTGGTCTGTTGCTCAAAGCAACTAATAAGTTATTTTTGCACTTGTTCCCAGATGTATGTTAAGGATTTGGTTCCCCAGCTGTCTGAATTCTCAACTAATGTTTCTGTGGCTCCTCTTTAAAGAGGAGCCACTGTCATACATTCATTAGTCAGTTGCAATAAATGCCTTAAGTTTATTTCCTAGTTAGCAGTAGGTGAAAACTTGTGACAATTTGAACAAAATAAAACGACGAACAGGTATTTAAGGAATTTTATGGCTATGTCCTTCACTTTGAATATGTTGATTATTGGAATTAACTCTCATTACCCAAGAAGATGATACAGAATTCTATAGTAGTTTGACCAAAGCAAATATTTGACATTGTTGACATTTCAAATGGGCGGGGTGGCTGTAATCCCAGCACTTTGGGAGGCTGAGGTAGGTGGATTGCTTGAGCCCTGGAGTTCGAGACCCTGTCCTGCAAAAAAATAAATGAGCCAGGCATGGTGGCACACACCTGTAGTCCCAGCTGTGTAGAGGCTGAGGCAGGAGGAGGAAGAAGAGCACTTGAACCCAGAAGTTCAAGGCTGCAGTGAGCCATGATCACTCCACTGCACTCTAGCCTGGGTGGCAGAGTGAGACCCTGTCTCCAAACAAGAAGAAAGCTTTTTAAAAAACTCATGTAAAAGGTCTTTGTTAGATTTTATGAATTCACAGGTGTGCCCTCAGGCAGTGTGTGTTTGTTTAATGTGTGTGTTAGAAAGCTTGACTGTGTTGGCCACTGCCAGTGTCTGCTTTTCTGACTTTAGCTGTGTGTATTCCCTTAGTAAGGAAGGATGGGCTTTGTAGCCAAATCCATGCTTCTTCACTAACCATAATCCACTGCTTGCATTTAGGAACAAATTAAAAGGCAGAATATGTGGAGATTAAAAGATTAGGAAACTTTGGATATTGGCTAATTTTTAAAGTTGAACCTAAGCTGCTATGTTAACAACATAACAGCTGTTATGTTAACAGCATAACAGCTAAGACCATAAGCTGTTATGTTAATAACATAACGGCTAAGATCAGGGCTACTACAGCAGTGTTCAGGAACTCGGATGCGATGACTTCTTGATGAGATGGTTGCTCTAACAAAAGGGTAGTCTCAAGTTCTGCATAATCCTGTCAAAAGATTTCTGCAGTATTCATGAACTGAACACTTCATGTTCTTGATTCTGCTGGAAATTGTTGAAAGGACCTTGAATTACAGAGTACTGAGTTGAAAGGAAAGCAAGAAGGTTAAGGTAAAAAGATAGTTTGTCTATCTTTTGTCAAAGTGAAAAGAGCAAGAGTTTTCAGTATTCAAATATTTTTTTCTTTCTTTCTTTCTTTCTTTTTTTTTTTGAGACGGAGTTTCACTCTTGTTACCCAGGCTGGAGTGCAATGGCACGATTTCGGCTCACCGCAACCTCCGCCTCCTGGGCTCAGGCAGTTCTCCTGCCTCAGCCTCCTAAGTAGCTGGGATTACAGGCACGCGCCACCACGCCCAGCTAGTTTTTGTATTTTTAGTAGAGACGGGGTTTCACCATGTTGACCAGGATGGTCTCGATCTCTCGACCTCGTGATCCACCTGCCTCAGCCTCCCAAAGTGCTGGGATTACAGGCTTGAGCCACCGCGCCCGGCTTCAAATATTTTTTTCTTATTTATTTATTTTTTAAAAATAGAGACGGTTTCACCATGTTGGCCAAGCTGGTCTCGAACTCCTGGCCTCAAGTGATCCACCCACCTCGGCCTCCCAAAGTGCTGGGATTACAGGCCTGAGCCACTGTGCCTGGCCAGCATTCAAATATTTAAGTCCCCTTTTTTTCTCCTCCTTTACTACCTCATGTGGAAAAAAGCTGTTTGGTTTCTATTCTGTAAACTGTCATAAATGGTCATTTGCTTCCTAGCTACATGATTAATTTCCTCGAGATCTTTGTTCAGTGGCTGGTTTTAGTTTGCTCTTCATTTGTACACAGGAAATAGGTACATTTGGCTACCAGGATTTTCTTGATCTTTCTGGCTGGAGTGGCATACCACAGTTTCTTTGCCTGAGCTAATTGCCCTAAACATTTATATAACATTCCTTTTCTTCATTATATTCCTACAGCTTCATTCCAGTAGTGTTAATAGGCATTTCTGAGAACATTCAGCAGTGAATATCCTGTGAATATAGCTCAGATGAGAGAAGGTGGGTTAGGAAGTGGGGAAAGTCATTTAGAAGTAGCAAAGTAAGGCAAGAGAGAAGGTAGGCCGTTTATGGGCAGACAGTGGACCCTGGCCAGGAACCAGGCTTTTGTCCCATCCCCCTGGGGAGATAGAACTGCCAGGAAGGTTAACGAAGGTCAGGAATTATGAAGCAGTTATTTTGAGGTTGGTGGTATGAAGCACTGCCCTGGCATTCTTCCTGTTACTCCAGTACCAGAAACCAGGTTACTAGTGATAATCTGCTTTGAAGAATGCCTCTGACCTGTAAATGGACCTGGATATTTTAATGACTTTGAAAATTGAGGTGATTTGACGCCTTCAGTAAAACAAGTTCAAGAAATTAAAAGAATTTCAGGGCCCGTTGGCTGGAATCTTGGTTTATATGGTTTTGTTGGAAGTCTAGTGGGTGCACTTCACAGTAATGATTTGGGTTTATTAATGATAGGCTTTCAAATCATAGCACTATATGTCAGCCACTATGGTAGGCAGTTTACAGTTTTCTTAATCCTCATGATTCTATGAGGAAGTATGGTAGAGTATTAGTCCTATTTTACAGACAAGAAAAACGAGGCTTAGCAGAGTTAAGAGTGATTTGTCCAAGTAAATGTTTATGAAGTCCTAGGCAGTATTTTTCAATAAACTTTGCATAATCTCACTTAGCAAGCAGATAACTTACTGGCACATGCATCGTTCCTGATACCACCTCTCTCTTCCTTTCATTCAGAATTACTAATTTCAGCTGGATTCAATTTGTTGTCAGTTGATTCTGTAGTAAGGCCATATGTTGCCCCTCT